CCCAAACCGTTTGGGGCAGGGGCTCAGACCCTCTTCCAGCCCTCAATTCCTTATTCAAATGCAAATTCAAATGCATCTTCTCCTGCACTGAACAGGCATAGCTCAAGGTAGGCAGTGAGATAGAGTGGTTAAAGCCATGGGAGAGGAACATTGAAACCTGCATCCAAACCTTTACTGCAATGCTTTTGGGATCACTGTAAGCCCCCCCCCCCATGCTACCTTGCAGGGTTGTTATGAGGAGCAAGAAAAAGAATGTGGCACCTAACTCCTGAAAGTGCAGCCAGGTTCGTCACCTTCTACTCCCAGGGTGTTTCCCCCTTCATATGGCACTATCACGTCATACTCTCCTAAAGATGTTTTTTTGGGGAGGGGGGATTGTTTTAGTTACCAAGGGACTGAAAACACAGGCATCTTCGAAAAATTCAAGCACAGTGTATCTTAAAACAGACAAGCAAAATACACTACAAAGGGCTGCTACCACCTTTGGAAAGGAATAAAACAGAGTAGAATAGTCTGGAAGGAGTTAGCAAGGATGAAACCCTGGAAAGAAACAGGGACAAAATTATGCCCAGTTCCGTCAGCTCTTCAAGCAAACCTGTTTTGACCTTTCGCAAGCAGGGATGCGTCTGACAGAGCCGCAGTGACCGGACTTGTCCTCGTCGTCCTCACTAGGTTGGTCAATGCAAAGGGAGGATGGGAAATGTAGTCCACCAGCATCCGGAGGATCGCAGGATCCCCAGCCTGCTCCACCGCCAGTACCAGGAGCTGTTGCACCCACCATTTGCCAGTAGATGATCCTTCAACTAACCTTTTCAGGTCTAGAGTTAGTTATACTTCATGAGTAGAAGGAGATTTTTGGAGGTGTCTCTTGAAAACATCTAAGAGGTGCTGGATATAGGAGGTGCTGAAGTTACGTCATTAAATTTTCAGAGACAAGCAGAGTTCAACTTAGATGGAAACTCCCTGGTGTCTGTTTCCTGCAGAGTATGATTCTATATTTCTATGTACTAATTGGTCGCTAAAAAGATGGAACCTAATAATCTTCTCCAGGAAGGAAAGGTTTATACGATTATTAACAGTAATGGAATGGGCCTTTCTCTGGGACAGTAAATCTCATGATCCAAACCAATCCTAGGAGAAAGGTTGAAGGACCTGGCTAGGCTTGGCATGGAAAGATGACTTACTGAGGGGGAACGTGGGGGCTCATCTTAAACCCCCGTGTCTCATGGAGCAGGGCTGGATCCAAATGGTTCACGTTCCAGAGTAGATTCAATGCTAGGAGAATCATCTTGACAAGAAGAGTCGTTTCTTCAGGAGGTGGTGGACTCTCCCTCACCAGAGCACAAGCTGGACCTCAGTCTGTTGCAAAGAGGCAAGGACGGCTCGTAGTATGGATGGTTTTAAGCACAAGGCTGAGACAAAGTCACGGGGAATAAGGGCCCAGTTTCTGACTGTCGTTCCCACCCAGCCAACGGCCATCACCAGCCAGGTGGGAGCCTTCAACAGGGCATGCAAAGAGCAGCAGGAACATCTGGAAGCGCTGCGGGCAGGACCAGAAGGAACATCTGTCTGCAGGTCCCGCGCTGAGCTGCAGGCTTTGGACAACAGCCCAGGTTTGCTTGACTGTGGAGGCAGGAGCTGGTACTCTCCAGATACCTTAGACACACAAATCACCTTTCCTGCCAACTGACATTCAGGAAGTTGTATCTCCAAGGCCTGGATACACTTTCTGGGATCCGTCTTTGTGAATACCAGTTCGCCGGATTTTGTTTTTCCGAGCTACAAGGACGGACCCTTTAGCTGCTCCGGGCAACAGAAGAGACCTTACGCCAGCCTTCCCGAGTCTGGCGCCATCCATGTGTGCTGAACTTGCACAGACCCCTGCCAGCATGGCAACTGCAGAATGATGGGAGTTGTAGTACAGTAGAGCGCAGACCGGGGAAAGCATGCCGACAGTGCTCTGCAACTAAGCAAGATGTTCTGAGAAGCATTAGAGCTGTGATTTGGTATCGGGATAGCGAGAGTTAATACATGGAGTCACTAACGGCGCAGTAGAACATCCGTATCCAGAAGCCACTATCCTCCGAAATCCAGCACTTTGTGGAATCTTCTTTCATTTCACCTTGCCCTGGATCTTCCAACCTTCTATGGCGAGGTGTCGTCTGCCGGCTGTTTGATCCACCTTTCTGATCCCTTTAATTGTGGTCCAATTGGGCAAGATTAATGTTCTGCTCTTTGCCCCATAAGAGTTGTTTTTTTCTGTAGTTTTATCCTGGGAGGCATCCATTGAACCTTTGAATCAGTCCTTGATCCACCACTGCTCCTGTCCATGAGACTTTATTCTTAGGTTTCCAATGTCTGTTGTCATATGCATTATCAATTTATCATTCAGAGTTTGGTATTATCATACAAAGAAAGAGAAATGCCCACAAAAACAGGCAAGCAAACCAAGTGAAGAACTGAAATCAATAAGCCACGTGAGAGAAGGTGCACCTGCATGCATTTCCACCGTGGGTTCAAATCATTCCCGTCCTCTTTCCCGCGCGTCACCCGAGCTGCGAGATCAGTGAATATGGCCCATTTCCAAATGCAAGTTGCCAACTCACGGCTGTTGACATCGTTCTTCAAAGCGCAAACCAGACATCCTCCCCATCCCCCAAACACCCGGGTCACACCTTCCACAGCGGACTCAGGGACCCGTTTTTGGTGCATCTAAGAAATGAAACGATATTTACATATCAGTATCGGTTACTTTTGGACAGTCCTTTCCCTTTCAGTTTTGTTGCACTGTTTCCATTTGTTTTGTTTTGGTGGAATTAACAAGTGTGTGTGTGTGTGTATATTTGGAGTGGTGTGGTGTTTTAGACTGCTCGACCCGGGTTCTAGTCCTTGCTTGGCCATGGAACTGAGTGACTTTGGACCAGCCACTGACTCAGTCTAACCTACCTCACAGGGTTGTTGCTGAGAGGAGAAAGTAGTGGAGGTGAACCCTGCAGGGCTCCTTCGTTCCCTTCAAGAGGAAGAAAGACAGTATATAATGAATATCATAATAAATGAAGGAATGAAGCCGTCAAGTGCCTTGTGACAGAACAGAATTATTGACAAAATGATCGCTGTTTGCTCTTGCTCACCTCTAGTTCCTGGAACCACACGCCTCTGGGTACCTGCAGGGAAAGAAGTGTAAGAAAAAACCCCCAAATCAGACAAACTTGGCTGCATGGACGACCCCTTGTAATTATATTATTATTATTATTATTATTATTATTATTATTATTATTATTAGAACATTTCTATGCTGCCCCTTGCCGAAGCCTCGGGGCGGCTTACAACACAATTCAGCCAAGTGCCTAGAGAAGTCCGTTAGGAGGAAGCGGCATTCTCCCTCCGCCCCACAATTAGCACGATGAGGCCAGTCTCCCTGGCCTGCTTGCTGGGGAAGGGCCGTCTGCAGCCAGCCTCGGTACCAGTGTCTCCCCAGCCCTAGACTGTGACCCCGTAAGGCATCTCGCTTGTGCGATCCAAAGAACCTGGCCCCACAGCACCCTACTGCCTGCAGCAGTCCGTACTCCTGGCAAGGGACATGCCCTGGTGGGCATCCTTCGAACCCGGACATGGGCAGACACCGCCAGAGCCTGACAAGACCCATCGACGAGGACGGATCCATGACCCGAGTCCCCGGAAGCGGGACCGCCGGGCAGTCACGCACGAACACCGACCTTTACGGCACAAGAGCGAGCAAGGCGACACTCAGCAAGGAACAAGAGACGCGTTCTGCGGAGGCTTTCTCTGGTGTCCGCGAACCGAGCTACAGGCTCAGCAGGGCTGGACTGCACAGCTCCTTCCTGAGCCGCGTCTTAAGAACGGCACACCTGGCTGTTCCGAGTGACAACGATCCCGTCCGTCTGCCGCTGGGGAACGGCACCGTCCGGGGCCTGCCACGGTCCGGGGAGCGGTCGCCCAGCACGACGCGGCTGGCCAGAGGCCCAGCGGGCGACTGGGAGCCACCCTGCCCGGCGAGGAGGCGCACTCCCTGCGCTGCGAAGGGCAGTGACCCGCGTGCTCGGGAGACCCAAGCCCAGCCGTGCTCCCCTGGGCAGCCGGTCTTTCTTCCGCTCCTGTCCAGCCTCCCCTTGGGTTTTGCGGACCGTGCCTGACCGACGGGGAGCGTAAGGAAGAAAGTGCTCCGTGGCCCTCCCCATTCAAAGCAATGGGGGACCCCTAGAGAGGAGGGAGGGAGGCTGGCTGCAGGAGGGCTACTTAGGGGGCCGGCCCCTAACCGAGCCCTTGCCTGCTCGAGAACATGTTGTGCCGACCTCAGCGCTTCCGTTGCTTCCCTCCTGCAGGCGCACCGTTCGCTTAGCCATCCAACAATACCGCTGGCACGCCTGTGCACCTGCTCATCCAGCAGCGAAGCTCGCACGTTTAGACAGCCACTTGCAAACTTGCTGGGACTAAAGCAACAGAGCAATCCCAAGCAGAAGACCTCTTGCCCTGGGCGTCAGAATTTTAGCAGGCAGACTTAAATGGCTGGGTTAGCCGCACCGCAAACGCACACGGCATGGATTGGGAGGTACGTCGGCCCGAGTTTTGCTGGTGATTTGAGGCAGAGGTGCCGGATTTCTTCTGGCCCGGGAGCTGAATGCCAGTGCAGAGAAGTCCCAGGGCCTGCATTCCAGGGGTAGGTGAGGCCAAAGGCAGGAAGGCAGAGTGTAACGCTCGTGCTGACAGTACCTGAGGTTTAGGATAGGTTTTCCAGCCTTTCCGGATGGGAAAATCCTACAGAAAGGCTGGGAAGCCACCAGAGTATCCAAGGGACCAGAAGGAAAGAGAGGGAGGGGCACAGCCAAGTGGGGAGACCCATGTGGCTGGGCTTGGCCCCCAGGCCTCAGCTTGAGCACCCCCAATCTAAGGTAAAAGGTTAAGGATCACGACCTCCTGACTTTCCATGGTGCATGGACATGCATTTCGGACAGAAACAAGGAGATACTGGAACGCTTCCGTTATTTTAAAAACAGTTTTTATTCTGTATATTTAGAAATGTGTAGTTTTTAATAACGGCAAAGAAAAAAAATCAGCCACACCTGAATAGCTAAATAACTGATTAACAGAATGCAGTGGTATATTATCTAAACAGAAATAGTGCCAATGTGCCATAATAAATTGTCTATTAGTAAAAAAATACATTTCAGGGCACATAAGCAAGTACAGCATCCTTATCACAAAATTACAGCAGGGATACTTTTTTTTTCCAAGAATGTAATCAAACTAGAGAATTCCGAGTTAGTCTTTAAATGCAGCACTTAAAAAGGTAACAACGTTGTGCATTTTCTTTAAAAAAAAGTCCTTGTTTTCGTGTACTGTAGAAATGCCTGATTTATTGCTGCGAGATGTCAAAGTTCAAGGCTCAAAAGGTATGAGAGTACAAAGATATTAAGAAACTTCCGTTTTGTATTTTTATATATATTTATATATATAAAAAGGTAAAGCTTATAAAAGTTAATTTACAAACCAAGAACAAAAGTGGTATGCATGAATTCTATACAAGCGATCTATAGCATCTATAAATTTTCAAAATGCATAGCCGAAAACATACCATTAAGTTCTTCAGGGTCTCATCTGGCTGACCAGCGCAAAAACAAGTGTTTGTATTTTTATCTCTGGCCTTCTCTCTAAACCAGCAAGTTCACAAAAGGAAACCGAGTCTCTCTCCAAGATGTATTTATCTACGTAAGCACAGAAGCCATACAAACTTAGTAGTACAGAACTAGGGATGTCAGCTAAGACTAGTAAAAACATGAGGGTAAGGCATTCCTGCTGGTTAATGTCAGAGATGTGGTTAATTTATAGATCCACAGAGGCAAACAAACCGTAGTCATATCACATGCGCTTTCTCTCTTTCCCCATGACAAACGGAAAGAAAATGTGTCTCTCTTGTACAATTAAGTAGCCGTGCAGTTACTCTCCCTTCTCAGAAAGAGGGAAAAAATCGGTATTGTGCTAGCAAAAACGTCATTTCCACCTTGTGGGCAAAATGCGTCAAAGGGTCGCCAGTTTAAAAAACAAAAACAAACCAACAGTGACTTCAAGAGTCTTTGCATATTCTAAACACAAAGGTGTTTTGTTTGTTTTCTATAAAAAGGAAAAAAAAAACTTTGGTAAGAAAAAAGACCTAATTCAGCAGTGAATCGTGAACCAAATGTCAGTTCCTCTGGAAACAAAAAAGAAAGAAAGAAAAAGAAATTGCATTGCTTCAGTGGTTGTTTAAGAGAGTTTTATGCACAGATGCATCACAAGTGTCCAGTTAAGGAAAGCCAGAGGGAACGGCGTTCCCTCCGTGATCTTCTCCGTGGCATGTACCTGACAATGGTACTCGCTAGCTGTTGTTAGTCAAAGCAAAGACCGCTTAATACTAAGATACTGTTAATACTTGAAAAGAACGGTTCGGTTTCTAGGCAAGGTTTGTTTGTTTTTTAATCTTGGTTGCACACTTAAGGTCGCTCTGCTAACGAAAGGGTTAGAAGTGATCTATTAGAACTGACACACAATTTGCTCCAACAAGGTAGTTTGGATCCCCAGGAAGAGACTTGTTCTGCCAGGTTTTGGGGTCACCTGTGAAAGGAAAACAACGTAATCATTTAGTATCCATCATCAGAAGGTGGAACATCTTGGATTAACAATACCTCTAAACTTAGCAAGGCTGTGTTGGCTGTTCGGCTAACAGAATCACTTCCTGCTTTTTGGAGGAGCTGGCTTGTAACTGACTAGTTCTACCCGCGTGAATCGTGGCGCAATCCTGTGAAGTTGTGCCAGTGGCACTACTGGAAACGGCCACATGCACCGGCAGCCCCAGTTGGGTCTTTCTCGCCACGCGCTTGTGCTGCACAACCAAATACACAAATTTCATTTCTGACGGTTGCAGGATTGTTTTATCAAGCTACTCTGGCTAAGTGCTCTTTATAAAATTGGGGCACTCAAAGCACTGGCGTTGCACCTCTTGCGGACCCACCTCCTGGAAAAGCCAGGTGGGACCACAAACACCTGTCCAAAGCTCTAGCAATTGACACCCCCCCCCCCCAATTCAGCTTCCCGATGCAGCTTCCCATGTTCCGGAGAGCAGGACTCTGGATAGCCGCTGAGCCTGACACTTCCAAGCTGGGACTGCAGCCCCAGCTGGGGTCTTGGAGGTACGTGTGTCTACTTCCCCTCAGCTCCCGCCTTCATGGCTCTGCGTCAGGCCTCAGCGCTGAGCCACCTTTGCTAAGCTGGAGAGGCGCAGGGCTGAAGCTGGATGGGTGACCGCAACTGGAAGTGGAGCAGGGGCTGGACTTGATGGCCTTCTAGCCCCCTTCCAACTCGGCCACTGCTGCATTCTGACCTTACAGGGGAGAGCCCTTCGGACCGCCCAGCGGCACTGAAGTCACCCCGCACGGGAACTGCCGGAAGCCTGCCCCCCCGGAGACGACGGGCTCAACTAATCCTCGGCAAAGGGTGCAGCACCCACCTGCTGCCCCCCCTTTCTTGTTCCTCTGACATCCGCTGCACCGGCTTGCACTGCGGGCAAAGCGGACGCCAGAGAGAGCAAGAAAAGGGGCCGGCGATGACCGGAGCCTCCAGAAGGGGCCTCCGTGTTTGCACCACGCCTCGCCCAGGCTCCTGGGACGCTGTTCTGCCTGCTCGTAGTCACGGACCATGCGCCCCAGGCCTGCACCCCTCTGTCAGGTGACCCGCTCCGTCTGCAAAGCGCTGGGGCTATTCTGGTGCCGTGGAGACACTGCTAGGGTTTCTATGAGGCTGCAGCCTTGGGGTGGCGGACCTCGAGCCAGGCGCCGCTACGCTAATCCTAAGCACAATGATGTGGGAGTGAGAGGGTCCCGGGGGACAAATTGGAATTCCCTTGCGGAAAAGGATGCGTAGGACTGAATGGCACACACGGCGATTCCACTAGGATCCTAAGGAAACGGAACTGCCCGCCCGCCATTCTGCTCGGCAGGAACGTAATACCATCTCGGTGCAAATTCCTACGGTTGGAACTGCGCTACCTCAGTGCTGCTGCGATTTACACGTGTGTGCGCCCACTGAAGCTTTTGGGATGCCTTTGCTATAATGCCATAGGTTTATTTAGGCTATACAGGTAAGTGATGCGGCGCTACAAAAGACCCGTTCCGCAACCCTTCAAGGGGAACTCATGGAAACAAACATGACATATAGAACGGCTGATATGCTGGCGTGAAGTGGAGACTGGGAAGACTATGACGAGTGGCTTAGAACTGCTTCGAACTTGGCAACTGGCTTCGACAGCCAGTGAAATTACCCCTGTTGTAACCCAAAACAACAACAACGGGAATTTTCCATTAAAAAAAATACAAATGCAGTTCAAGACTGAGTGGAATGACTCTTGGGAATACTGAGAGCCTTAGCTGAATTTACAAACCCTTGTCCATAATCAAGACTTTGTAAATATGTGAAGGTGTCTTCCGATATGAGAGAAGCTACATTCACAGAACACGGCAGTCTTAAACAGAAGTTAAAACGTTCGTTCCACTGCTTGAAAATGCGTATGCAGTGACATCCAATGCCAAACAACTGAAAGCAGAGTGCTCAGAAATTAACCACTTGTGCAGTGTGGTTCCACTTAAAAGTTGGGAGTTAAATGTCTCTCCGCTCCATGGAATGAGATGAAACAAGGTAATCTAATGTGCCAGTACATCTCACTTTTTAAAATGTGTTGTGGAGGAGGTTAGTATGCATAACCAAATGTTCCTTTCAAAAAGGACAGAAACATGGAAAACGGGTTAGGAAAGTTCGAGAGAAAGAGAAAGCGAGAAAGAGATCCCATAACCAACTAAGTTTTTTTTAAAAAGAGAGAGAAAACAAGTATTTATTTAAGACACAGTATGGCTTACACATTAGAAGACAGAATTGGCCAATTGTGAAGTTTGTCTCAAGGAGCAAGATTACTGATATAACACCACATTTAAGTAAGTTAGCTGCAAGGGATGGATTGCTGCGACACAGACGGAGAGAAGCAACCTTAACACGCACGTGCAAACTGCACAAGGACACACAAATAGACGCTCGTGTGGAAAGGAGGAAGATCTTGCTCACAGAGTGGAAGTTACTTGGAAGGAGCAGTCTGATTTCCCTCTTCCTTTCAAGTAAATTCAGGAACAGCTTTATCGGTTACAAAATAAATCGTGGAAAAGCACGGTTTGAAGGAGTTAGGAGGTTTCTAAGCGGCAAAAGTTTGGATCCTTATTATTTGAAACTGCCCATTTTCTAGTACTTCCAGGTTTTTGTTTTTACACACAGTTAAGTAGCTCCATGCAACACCATGCATAGAATACCAGGAAAAATCAACCGGTCAGGATTTCGCTAAGTAACTGGATCCCCATCAGAGAACTCTCTGATGTTCTAACTTTTTGTTGTTGTTGTTGCAATGACATAGTCGTACTGAAAAGGATAGATACATCAGTGACAAATATGAATACATTTTTTAAATACTGTACACGTAAGTACATTGTTTTTATATACCATATACAGATATGTATACATTTAAGGGTGCTAAAGAAGTTATTCTTAAATGGTCGGAAACACCCTCGGGACAATTTTGTCCAATCTGCAGAAGAGACTCGTTTTTCCCTCCCGGCTGTGACTTGGCAGCCGCATGGTGAAAATGCTCAGGTGTTACCCAAGATCTGTTTTACTCTCATCATTTTGGTCACCAGGTATTTGGGCCTGTGGTGTTTCTCCCCCTTTAGGTGAACGGGGGCTTTTGCAACGCCTGGGGAGGGAGAGCCCAAGCTAAGGTCTCCTAACTATGGGGAAAAAACCTTAAAGACAAGGACCGCCTCTTCGTAACATTTTGGAATTTAGAAAGAAGCACACATTTTAAGTGGTGAGTCCAGAGGTGTTAAAAATGAGTGGCACCGGCTTCTTCTGCAAGAGAGGCTTCCATTCCTTTAAATGGGCAAAAGCACACATCACATCTGTTGCACCCGAAAGCGTGTCCAAAATATTAGCACTCCGGCTCCAGGTACCGAGCCTGCGACAGCATTTATGGTCAATCAAGAACAGGACTTCAAAAGCAAGTATTACAAAACCCAATTAGAGTTCCTTGAACAGAAAAGGCGTGACTTTCTCATCTTAAAGTGTTTGCAGCAGTATTAGTCCTTGAGAGAGAAGGGTGGGGGGAGGGAGGAGGAGGAAGAGGAAGAGTGAGAGAGAGAGAGAAGGGAAGCACGCAGATAATTGTACTGTCGAATGGGACAATGACAAGAGTACAGTACGGCATTATCTACTTTGCCAGTCTCAGTCATGGTTTTCTGCAATGATTTTGCATCGTCAGTATGAGAAAGACACTTGTGATGAAAATGAAATGGAGAGCTGACACAAATACAGTGATTTAGTAATAATTTTGTGTTACACAGTGTCACCTTGAATCAGGGGGGTTTAAATTATACGATAGCACCCAAAAGCCCCAAAAGGACAGAGGGAGGACGGCATACCCGACGACGAGTCGGAGGATTTTAGAGCAAAAGACCAACCATCAGGGGTCATAGACGCACAATGTGGGAGGCGGAGTTCTACAGGCTTCAGGAATTTCAGTCCGTGGGGCCCGCACATGACCAGGGGGCTGAGCAGTGTTTCACCTGCAGCGGACAGAGGGAGAGGAGCAAACAGTGAGACCTCCTTCTCATGCTCAAGCATGCAAGCACAGCACTATTTATGAGAGAGAGAGGGAGAGAGCACACGTTGTTGGCAGAAATCTGGCCGGCACATCTTTGCAGCAGCTTTTTCAGCCGAGAAACGGAAAGTGGGGCAGAGAGAGATGAGAGAGAGATCATCTCTCCTGGATCGAGAGAGAGGAGGCCTTCCAGATGTTTCAGCCCACAACTCCCATCAGCCCTAGCCAACATAGCCGATGCCGAGGGATGAAGGGAGCTGCAGGCTGAAACTCCTGGACGGCCACTCGTGGCCCCGTCCTGCCGCAGACTTTTCTGAAGATGGCTCTGCGTGACTTCAGAGAACTACCATAACGAAGAAGCTGCAATGACACTGTGTGTGTTTCCATTAATCGCCATCGAGCCTCGACTGGCGCAGCTCAGAAGGGCCTCGGCGCTACCTTTACATTTTTAGAAATACAAATCCCAGTACGGAACTGCTCCGCAGCGACCTTCACGGTGGGGTCTCATGCAAAAACACCACCAGATCCCACACTGGTGCCACGGAGGCGACTCGAGGCAGGAATCCCTCTCTGCCTTCCGACAGAGAGTCGGGGCTGATAAGAAGCGAAGGAAGTTTTGCCCTGCTTGTTAACAAGTCCCGACTCTCCAGGTTCTCAGAGAGACCTTCTTATTATAAGCAAATCCAACCAAGCAACGTTCCAGCGGGACATGTTTGCGCTTCTTGCTTTGTTGATACTCTAGTCACCAAAGAAAAAGATTTCCCTTGTGCTCTCCAGCATTCTTCTTGCCCCTGAAAAACAACTGCTTTGTTCAGGTAATTTTTGGGGAAGCAAAGTTTTCCTCTGCTTTAACGGAAGGTGGGAAGAATCTTTTTCTGGCCTGGCTACCGCTGAAGTGGACAGCACGATGGACGAAGCACAGGGTTGGCCAACAGCCCCTTTCTTACCTTTCTCTTTGTCTAAAGGTGGGAGGATGCTATTGTCTCGGCAGACCTTGAAATAGATCTCTTGTTCTATTCCCTCTGGAATGGCTCCTTGAGGAATAATTATGCTGACTCCAGTCTCTATGGAGCTCAGGACACCGCCATTGCTGTTAAAAACTCCTCTGGCCGTAGCGACTACAGTGTGCCCATCTTCTTCGTCGTCATCTTCCAGAGCAGACGGACTAAAACCAGATAAACGGAATTATTTCTGACATTGCCAAGGAGGAAAGCGACTGAACGTTACAAAAGGAGCACCTGAGTCAATTAACCTAGGGTTTTGCAAGCAGCTGGGCTGCTGGGGGGCAGACCCTACCCAGAGTGCCTTGCAGGAATGGCTTCTGACTACATTCAGAAGCATACGCAAACCAGATCATGCCCTCTCCACCTCCTGCTCCGGGAGGAGGACAGGGCTGGGCAACTGGCTATTGCAGTAGCGAGCAGAAGAGAACGGAGTGTAAATTGTTTTGGAAAATATCTTCAAACCCATGCATCCTATGTGACAAAGCAAGTTATTATAATTAAACGGCTAAAAAGCAGCCCTGGGCACATCCTGCATCAGTTTTATTCTCGGTATGAACAGAATGGCGCCTCAACAAGTTTCCAGTTAATTCTGTAACGGAGAAATGGAGGATACTTTGGTAAACACATCTCCCAAAGAGGGATCAAGTCGGAAGGAGGCAACCTCAGGGAGGCGGTCTGTGCTCAAATGCCCCCTTGCGGGCTAAACTCCTGCCACTAAATTCGGCCAGGAAAGAAACCAGCAATTTGCAAGGAAGGAAATACGCTTAGCTTGTTTTGAAAATGCCAACTTTTTCTCTGGTGCCACAACCACAAGCCTGAGCAGTGACCATCCAGCCCACCTGCTGCCCTCCCTTGCATTCAGCAGGCCCAGATTCACCTCGGACTAAACTCTGAATGTGTCCACACATAACATTAAACCACGGTTTGTATTAATCACAGTGTGTTGTTTAGTCGGACAGTCTTGCGGATGAGGATATGTCTGTTTCCCCTATTTCTGGTTTGTCTCTGTCTTGTCTGCCTTAATAACTTTCAGGGGGTTTTCGGGCTGGTCCTGCCATACGCATGTTTCAGAGCAGACAGCAGCACAACCCAACATGGAGTAATTCGTGTTTCTGGGTTCACACACTGCAACAAGCCATGGTTTAAGCAAGCCGGACTTTGCAAGCCAACAACAAACCATGGAATCTGTGATTTAAAGTTAGTTAACAAATCGTGCTTTCTTTACAGGAAGGGGGTTCAGACATAAGTCAGACTTTTAGTAACTACAACAGAGTTTAGGATTTCGTGCAAACTGGGCCAGTGGTGAGAAAGTGCCAAATGGTGCCATGGGATGCAAAGAATTATTTCCCCTTCCACTGACTAAATAGACATTGCTCTTGATGCAACACCGAACGCAAAACCCGCAATGTATGCACCCCATTTGGCTGAGCATTCAACACTCCTCCAAGCTTGCTCCCTGAATCTGAAACACCTGCTGCTGAGAAGGCTTACGTACATATTTCGGTATCCCTCAGCTAACAGGCCTGTCTGCAGGAGAGCTACGTATGGAGCAAATATTCCATTTCCCAAAACTGGGAGAATACACTGTGTAGCAACTTGAAAGCGTTTCTGGGCTGAGAACCTGAACAGAGGTCTTCTCGAGCACCAAGAAAGAAAACTACACAACTGCCATTTTGCTGAGAAACCTGCACACTAGAGAGGCAAAGGCGCACTATGTTGCCCTTTTGGGGGACAAGCAGAGGCCAAGTTGGTGTTGAGCAGTCTGGCCTTCCTCTTGACCACCATTCTCAAGCTAACTCCTTTTAAACATAAGCTTTGAGAACTTTATGGCATGTGCCTATGAAAGCTGCAAGGCATGGGCTCTACTACTGAGCGACTGCCTCTACCCGAGGGGTTAAAGTTTTGTGAAAACTCTGCACACTTAATCAGAGACGCTGATGCTCCTCGATTCTTCTAGAGCGGAGTCACAGAAGTAAACTATCTTGCGAAGCAAACCTGTTCCAGGTCAAGGATGGGCCTCAGGAAGGCAGGAAGCTGCCTTGTTCCGGAGACAAGTCTTGGGCTGACTTGGCCCCTTGTGGCAGCACGGGCTGGCAGCAAGAGTTCTCGAGGTGCCAGGCAGGCATTTTCCCAGCCCTGCCGGCAGGTGCTGCTCGGGACGTTCCGCGTGCAAAGCAGAGGCTCTCCCACCAGGCCACACGGCCCCCCTTACCTGACGGGAATGGCTCTAGGCACAGCACTGACGTTGTTTGGTTGGTACTTGAGTTTGTCGGCCTGTACGGAGAACGTGTCCGTCACGCTGTCGAACTCTGGAAGAGGCTGGGATGGGCCGTGTGCTTTTAGAACTGGCTGGGCAGAGTTCTGAGATTTGGAGGGCAACTCTGGCTTATGCTGATTCTCATCTGGCAGGAGGTTGTGGTTGAATTTCGGGCTCTCGAACTTGCGTTCAAAGGGCCGGGCAGCACTGGTGTAAGGTTTAGTCGTGAAGCGGTTGTAGGCAGGCGTGACCGTCTTCGGGATCTGCTCTGTCCCGTTCACCGGCCCCTTGTCGGGGAAGCTTTTCTGAGGGTAATAGGTGGACTGCACAGTGTCTTCCCGGCTGGAAGTTCTGAAAGCCACTGGCTTGCTTTGAAGCGGTGGTGGGTCGGGCTTGGGCAGGGTGGCGTTTGCAAAGTCCGACACAGAGTTGACTGCAAGAGAACAGGGATGGCGTGAAATGCCAGGCAGGCCAAGGTGGCCTTTTCCCGGCTTGCAAAATATTTTCACAGGCAGAGCTATACGTGCTAAACCTGACGGAATGCGGCACCGGCGCAAAGGTTAGAAGCACCCCCTTCTCTCTCAGTTCTTGGCCGGCAATCCACGCTGGTGGGAGCCGGAGGACAAATGCAACCTCAGACAAATTTTGGGGCCCCCCACTGCAGTGTGGCTGGGGCTGGAGCCCAGAGAGCAGCATCTTTGAGCTGAACTATGTAAAGAAGGACCCCAACAGGTGCCACTTCTGGGGTGACTCTGGGGGAAAGTGCTTGAGGCTATAAAAATGCAGCCGACCCTTTGCTCCAGTAGGAATTCCCCTCCAGGGATTACACTCAATGGAAGAATGGCTTTCAGCAATCTGCAAGCACGGATCATGTATGGTATGTGAGGGGGTGTTACACGGAGATGCGTAGAGACCTGTTCTCCCCTGCAGAGGAAGGCAGGACGCGCTCCAATGGAGCAAAGCTCAGGGAGCCAAGGCTCCATTTAGGTGCCAGGAAGCACTTCCTGACAGTCAGGACCCTGAGGGTGTGGGATGGGCTTCCACGAGGGGTCGTTGAGGCCCCGTTGGTGTGGGTGTTCAAGGATAGGCTGGACATGCACATGGTGGGCATGTCGTGAGCGGAGCTGGCTAGTGCCGGAGGTCAGACTAGATGGCCCAGGAGGCTCTGTTTCTGACGCTCTGTTTCTATCATTCACGTTTTAATTCTTCCAGAGGTTACAGAAACCAAGAAAATTTGCCTAACAGCAGAAGATCCACTCCTGGTGTATCAGCTTTTTAAAAAATAGCACATGGCTCCTTCAGTGGATTTTCATTCTGGTTCCTGGAGGATTTGGCTTTAAGTTGATGTCAAGATCACCTAAACCTTGACATGCGCCTCCACTTTGGGACCTGTGCTTGGGGTCACAAAGTCACCCCACCCAGCTATTTCGATGGAGCTTCCAGGGTGATGTTTGTCACTCTCATCATCATCATCATCATCATCATGCCTATATAGCCCAGCAGCTGAAACGCTCATGACTCCTCATTCACTGATTTATTTATGAAGATAGGAAGCGAACATTTAGACAAAGCCTTTTGGGACAGTGTCGTCAAAGAACCCCTTGGTGCAAATTACAGCAGAGAAGCCTGCCTGGGGTGCGAAAGTCACCCCACCCTGAAGGGCATGGCTTTTGCTGTCAGTAAGAAAGCCCTGAAGGAGGCACTGGGGCTTTTTAGAAGGGGGGACACAGGAAAGGCTGGGCAGCTGAGGTTGGGCAAAAGGGGAGGGAGCTCAGGGGAAGGGGCTGGCTGGAACCCCAACCCTCTCGGATGGGGCTCCCCCACCTCTTCCTGGCCCCAAAAGGTGGGATATGCACCTGCCCGTACACAAGCCGCACCGGGCACCTACCTTCAGTGAGGGCAGACTTAGGCTGAAGGGACACGATCGGGTTGTTCGCGGACTGCGGCTGGGGGTACTGCACCGGAGGCAGGACAGGCGGAGGAGTGATTTGAGGAGCTGGCTCATAGCGCTTCTCGCCCACGGCCCTTTCCAGAGGCTCCACGTCCACCGGCTTGCCCCTGTGGGGACGAAGGGAAAAGAAAAACCAGGTGAGGCCCAGGCTTGGCGCCTGCTTTGCTCGCCCCGTACTGCCCCTTTACGTGGAAACGGCTCTTCTGGACTTGTTTTTACGGGCTGGCTGGTGGTCCTGGGAGGCCACCCCTGGCAACCTGACACCCTGCAGCGGTTCCGGTCTAGAGACACCTGGATTCCTGGCCACCAGACATATCTGCCAAGTCTCAATCGCCAGGCTGGAAAGGCCGCCTTCAGGTCCGGGGGTCAGCACAGCGCCGCCCAGAATTTCCTGTCCTGCACCCCGCTACTGGAGCACTTGCCCCACCCTCTTATCGTTCACGTACGGGGTCTTCCTGAGAGTAACAAGAAGCGCAAGGACATTTATACATCTGCTCCTCTAGAGACAACAGACAGTTGTCACAGGCATTCAGTTAAGCCCCATCCTCTTTTCTAAATGCCTGGTTTGCTTTTGTAAATGTTAGCAGAAACATGTAACAGCCAGTCTAAATACAGTAAGAAAGCAAACAAGAGTTTATGACAACACTGAGCTGTAGGAAGATTAGTAATAGAAACCAAAGAGAGGGCAAAAAAGAGGCAGATGACATCCGGGGTGTATTTTTTTCTTTTTGGCTAGTTATGTATTACCTTTTTTCCATTTTCCACTTTGGCACATAAAGCAAAGGGCAGTAATTTAAATTTAAGAGGAATAGGTGAATGGGCAAAGTGATCTATTTGTTTAAAAAAATAGATGCATCAGAATTTGACAGAATAGTGCTGCATACACCCAACGTTCAACCTGTACGATGCCATCTTACCTGGAAATGCAAAACGCTTCACTAGCTTTATGTGCATAATTTTAGTGAGTTTAAAGGGAAAATGAGAAACTTTTAATATTGCTTTTGGCCGTGTTTTCCCTCACCAGGAGATGCTCATCCATGCAATGGTCAACACCAATCACATTTAGATCTGAGTTAAGATGAAATGGCTTTCAAAGTTTTTTCCTGCACATAACGCCTGTGATAGCTGTAACACGAAAGAGGAACTTCAAATAAATGAATGAATAAATAAATCCTCAGACCGACACTGTTCTTACCACGTGACGTTCCTTTTTAAGTAGTCATAGTTAGTGTAAGAGCCAAGAAATCTAGGTGACAGCAAAGCAAACAGCAACAGAACAAAAGAACAATGGTCATTCTAGCTTACGCACAGGTCTTCCCTTTTAGTACAAGTTTTCCAAAAAAGAAAAAAAGACATGCACACACAAAGCAAAACTCCGACAACACACTTCACAGACCAGCAATTCCTCAACAGCTTTCTGGGACGCAGGTTACATGAACGATTCCTACCACCCTGGCATTCCTTGGAATGGGGGCTCTGTGCTCTCTAACTACGGGCAGGTAAAGGCCTCCGTTCCAGTGCAAGGAGGGAGAACAGTCTGAGATTCCAGGATGTGTCCCTTCCTATAGCGGGCCAGGGAATGCCGCTGCTCGGGATATCGGCACCCCAGAGAAGGGATCGAGTCTTGCAGAGAAACCTGGGAGTGAAGTTTGCAATCCCATAGCTGAACGTGCTCTTCTGAGAGCTGGTGAAAATGAAGGGCAAGGCATTCAGTGAAAAGAAGGGGAGGGTGCATTATGGGCTTCTGGGCCCCTAGCCCAAGAGCTCTGGGGAACATGGGTGAACACAGACATCCAGCTGTAGAGCTCTCCCCTCCTTAAAGCTCTCAGACGGGGGGTGACTGCGCTGCTTTCCCCTGCTGTTCCAAGCACGTGAAGCTTCTAAGCAGAAGCTCAGAAGATGAGATGGAAACATAGCAATTTTGGGATGGCCCTCGTGCAGAAAGATCCTGCGAGTAGGGGGAAAGGGCACAGAGATGACTTAAGTTCCTGCCGTGCTAGCTTTCTACCTGAAGCGAGTCTTACTTTTCTTAAATAAATAAAAGCGCAGAAGGGCGTTATCAGCCATCCACCCATCCAGCTGTTCCAGGCAATGAGGGGGACAGAGGCTCATGAACCGGAAAGAGGGTCCACCCCTTCCTGCTAACATGATTCCTATTAATGCACAACTGCCTGCAGTTCTGACCCAGTGCTGCAGATGGCACCACAACAAAAGCGGCAAAAGGACCAGCAGGCAGACAGCGCCCCCGTCTGGCCATCACTTGTCACTGCTCCACCACTTGCACTTAAGTGCGTGCCTTTTTATATCCATCACTCACAGATTCCGTTCCCTCAAGTTATGTAAGCTTCTTTCTGATGCAAGTTCTCTGCTGTTCTTGTTATTTGGAAAAACCAAACCTGCTTATTTGTTTGTTACAAATAAATAAGTCTTCACTGCAAGCGGGTATGCGCAGATCCTGAATTAAACCACACCCGATGGGGTCGCAAAGGCATTTTCCTTTTCCTCCGAGACCGCCTAGCAATGATGGGGGTCAGGAGGAGGAGGAGCCCGTCTGTGGCAGCTTTGCAGAGGCGCTGCCTAGAGACCAGATGTGCAAAAAAGGAGAGAGGCTTACTTGGATGGGTAGTTGGTATAGTTCAACTGGTTGTGGAGAAGGGCTGGTTTCGCCGGTTCGGCGTGATGGCTACTGGCGATCTGTGCCGCAGGCTTGTTGTCATAACTCCGGCGGTCGAAATAGGAGAGCTGCTTGCGGTAGTACTCCTCATCTTCCTCGGGGTCGTAGTGGTTTGCCCGAACGATGTCCTCAGGGGGGTTTGCTTGAGGTCTCTGCGGTTCAGGGGCTCTGGCACACGCAAACAGAGGCAAATAAAAGTCAGTGTACTGTGGAGCAGCACAAGCAACAGCTTCTAGCTGGCAGAGCCTTCCTTGGGCTCGCCCGAGGAGGGGGCACTGGGCTTTCAAGCTTGTCCCCACAACACGCGGCCCCCGGCCCTTCCCAGCCCACTGCATCATGGTTCTGCAACCTCAGAATGGTGACTTCATACAGCAGTTAAGAAACAGAGGTAACCAATTCCATCACAGAAACTGAGGCAAAACCCCAGAGCTGTCGCGCGACTGAGGAAATGTTAGTGGGTGGCTGCACTAGTGAATTAACAGACGGATCAAATCTGCAAAGATTTGCATGGATCACAAGAAAAATTAATATTTTGATTGCAACGGAGGCGCACGTGCTCTGCGCTGGAAGGGGTACCTCTTCTGTGAAGGTTCTCACTGACTACCATATTTATAAGTATCCTTCATTACAGCAGCAGAAAAGTCTGAAGATGACCCGTTTCTATCTTTTTACTTTGCCCCAGCCCCAATCCACAGGCTCGAGCTGAATACCGTATTTCACATATTTGATTTCCAGAAAAAACCTGCCATGGTAGAGCTGAAGTTCTCATACCCAGCAACTGACACAACACAGGTTCCCCTCTTCTATCTCGCACAACTGCAGCCGATTCGATGCCAAAATGAGGGCAGCGATTCGACCGGTTCCCCTCTTCTCCAAGTTCTGCTCTTTGACTGGATTTGGCCCCAGCTACGCACACAGCTTGGCCCTTTGGCTCCCCTTTCAGGCAAATTCAACTCCCGTCGCCGCCTTTACCTGTAAGCTGGTTTGTCGTGTTCGTACTGATTCTGAGAGACTGGCTTCGGGCCGCTCACCGGGGCGAGGCCAGGCTTAGGTGCGAGCTCTGGAGGCTGCTAAAAAGACAGAGCTGAGATCAGGACAGGACAGGACAGGACAGGGAAGACACGGTGCTGATACTTCAGACTGGGCAAACTCCCGGAGCCACTGGCACATCTGACCGCTGGAACGACTCTCGTGGGCACTGCCACAAGATGGAAACCACAGGACACCCCGCAACCGGAGACCAGGCCCTCCAAGCCCCACCACCACCCTCCCGGCGCCCGGCACTGTGACATCCGACGGGAGGGGAGCGGCCAAGGAGCTGCCCCTCAGGTACTTGCCTTGACGACGGGGCCGTCGTTCGACTCCTTGATCTTCTCCAGCGAGGACGACCGCTTGTTCTCGAACATCTTCACCCGCGTGAGCACGGACTGCGGCTTCATGGCCGGGTCGTCCTCCTCCTCGGCTGGTGGCGTGGGCAGTGCTTTACTGTGGGAAGGCAGGATCTCGGGCTTGCTCGGCGGCGGGAGCGTCCCGGCGGCGCCGTGAGGGGGCTCGTACGGGCCCGCTTTGGGGGCGAACGCCTGGGCGGGGGGCTGCTCGTAGCCGCGGTGCTGCGGGTCGAAGTAGAGCTTGGGCTCCGGGGAGCGCGGCACAGCGGGGGGGTAGGCCTGGGCCTCGCCTTTGTACCGCCCCCCGTGCACCTCATACCCCGCCGGGGGCGGCTCCTCGTAGCGCAGCTGCGCCAGGCCGAAGTTCTTGGGCGCGTGCTCAAAGCGGGGCTGGGCGGGGAAGTAGCCGCCGCGCTCGGCGCCCTCCTCCCCGCTCTGCCGGGGGTCAAAGTCTCTGGGGGGCTGGCCGTCGTACGGGGGCCGGGGCGGGTATGGCTGCTTCTCGTCGTAGTAGGCCCAGTGGTCGTCGTATGGAGGCACCCGCTCCTCGTAGTGCAGGCGGGGGTCGTAGCCGCGGGAGAACTGGTCCACGTAGCTGGAGGAGTCGTACCTGTACGGCACGGGCTCGTACTCCCTGCTCGGCTGCTTCTCCGCGTACTGGCCAGGCGGGTCGTAGGCCAGACTGCCATCTTTCTCCGTCCTCTGCAGCGGCTGCTTCAAGACGTAGTTGGGCCGAGCGGGGTCCTCACTGGCGTACAGGTCCTTCCGGTACATCTGCAAAGAGGCACCGCCTTTCCTTACTATATTATGTCCCATCCCGCCTTTTCCCCTTTCCAGGCGGCTCGCGTAACCCTTAAGACATTTCAGCAGCCGGGACGTTGCAGAAAGCGGTAGAACTACCTTAAGCGTAAGTTCCCAATGCATGTTCTGATGCACCAAGTCCCACAACTTCCTGCATTCCCCAGCCAGCTGTGCAGGTGAGGAAATGATGGGAATCGTACGACTTTTTCCCCTGCCTAAATGTATGTAAGATTGTGTCCTTATAGAGGGGAAAGCCCCGGTTAAATACCCTATTCCTCTGGAAGTACCTCCAAGGCTGCCACAAAGAGGAAAGTCAAGCTCTCTTCTTGCTGATGCCAGAGTGGTGGACACGGAATAATCAAGTCAAGCTGGGACAACCCAGGTTCAGGCTGGGCATCAGGAAAAGCTTCCTCACTGTCAGAGCAATACGACAGTGGGACCAGTTGCCTGGGGAGGTGGGGGGCTCTCCCACACTGGAGGCATTCAAGAAGAAGCTGGGCAGCCACCTGAGTGGGATGGTGTGAGCTGGTGTCCTGCAACAGCTGGGGGTTGGCCCCGATGGCCTCCTTGGCCCCTTCCAATTCTATGAGGGCTGAGTACCCATTATAGAAACTACAGCTGATTAAATTAAAAAAGCATATACATTTTGGTTTATTCAAATCGGTTTGCCATAACAATTAGGCCTTTTAGAGACACGTTATCTCAGAATCCTTTCGCTCTCACCAGAAGTGCCTGCCACCCTCAAGCTGGCTTTTAAAGAAATCTTCTCGCTGCTTAAATCTGTTTAGTCGCTCAAGATGCTTTCAGGTGATTCACTTAGCCAATCCATCAACATCATGCAGAATTCTTTTTTTTAATTTTTTAATTTTTTGAAGCTGGAGTTGTTGTTTTTAATTTGAAAGGATTCGGGCAAGAATGATTTGAGGATCTGTTGGAGGATTAAGCAGTGAAAGAAATTCTTGGTCACACTTCTGTCTAGCGGGACTCCGTCTAGTCCCACGGTTTGCTCACCTGCACCTGCTGGCCGCTGCGTACTTCCTGATTTTTATTACATTCCCTATGTTTTGTCTTTAATTTGACACACTCCATGCACACAATTGACAGACATGCTGCAAAGCGGAAGAATCTCTCTCCAGTGCCACCTCTGTCTGGATTTAAAGCAAGCTGGGCGGCCAAGTCCACCTTTTCACTCCTGGGCAGGAAACTTCTCATTGCATCTCAGCATTTAAAAACAACTGGGAAATAACCAACGGACTCTGGCAGCCATTTTGTGAGAGCACCCACAGCACCAGAAATTCCAAATGTGAACTCATGACATTTGAAATTCCAGAGGTGCCCACTGAACCAGAAAGTTGGGGATGATTCCCTAGGAGGCCCCAAGTGACCTTCAACTGAGGTCAAGCCACCCACATTTTTTATCTCCATCAGCTGCCTTTTTTCATGGTCACTGACGGAGCTGGGGCCAGTGCAAAGACCTTCGACTTTGCGATTTATTCCTTGGAATCCCTGCCTTGGTTCAATTTCCTGCCTCGCCTGTGACGGCCAGGCCAGACTATTCCCATCTCTGGATCACGGGACAGGAAAACCTCGGCGCGTGACTCTCACGGGGCTCTGTTCTCCAATCAGGCAGGCTCGCTGTGGGACGCGTTAGTGACCGTCTAGAGCAGTGCAATGCATTCAAATCATTAAAAAGCAATTGATCAGGAACCACGTCAATTTAGCGTCGAAAGGGCACAAAACATGATTCCATAGGGAGGTGTATGATTTCGGTTTCAGCCAGGCACAGAGCTAAACCACAGAAAGAAAAAGGAAAGGAAAGGAAAGGAAAGGAAAGGAAAGGAAAGGAAAGGAAAGGAAAGGGAGAGAGAGAGAGAGAGAGAGAGAGAGAGAGAGAGAGAGAGAGAGAGAGAACTCGGAAATGCAATGAGCCGCCTGCCGCCTCTTCTACACGATGCGCTTGTTCTCCAGCAGAAACGAGCCACACGGCTGGCGGTCATGCACACCAAGCAGCCCGGAGCGCTGATTTCTTCCGAAGCGCCCAAGCGCCAGGGAAAAGCAAATCAAAGGGACGGCCGAAGGGCCAAGCGGGGACGGTTGCGGGCGGCGGATCCGTGCAAGGCGGCAGCGCGGGCGGCGGTACCTTGGCTGGGTCTACGTGCGGCGACAAGGCCGGCGGCTCCTGGTCCCTGAGCAGCAGGGGGGGTGCCTCGGAGCCGGGCGTCCTCAGGGGCCCCGCCTGCGGTTGGTAGGAGTTGTACGGTGCCATGCCCGGCTCCTCCCGCCAGGGGCTCGCGAGGCCGGGGTTAACGGCCGGAGCTGGGACGGCCGGAGGAGGGTGCGTTTCTGGCGACGGGGAAAGGTAAGGGGCTGCAGGAGAGGCATCTGCTTTCTGTGGAGTGTTTAAAACACAGCGGGTTGGCGAAAGGTCGAGGCTCTGGCCGGCTGACAGGACGTCCTCCCCGCACCCTCCCGTCCGTTCTGCCTGCACACGGAAGCGGCGAGTGCCCCGGGACGGGCCTTTTCCGTGGCGTGGCCTTGCCCTGGGAGGGGGCGTCCAGCTGGGCTGGGTGGCGACTCCTGTCGTCCCCGGCCTGCATGGGGACGAGGGGTGTCGCGACCCCACGCCAAGGGAACACGCTGTGTGGGGGATACGACAGGCTCTCCTCTTCGGAAGAGAGAGGAAATTACCTCCCTCCCCCCCACCCCCACCACTGGAGAGGGATGAACGGAGAACAACCCGGTCAAGCGCTTTGCAGAACCCTCAGATTTGCGGGGAGGCGCAAGGTCAGGTTTTGGGATCCGCCTCTCCCCCCCTCCCCCGGTCTGTTTTCTGCATCCTCCCATTCTGGACCCAAGCTGAATTGTTGCCCCCCCCCCCCCCGGGGCAAGGGCAGCGCTCTTATCGACGTACTGAACTGCCAAGAGAAACAAGCCTGAGCAGCGCAGAGGGCTGGGGACTGGGGCAAAGGCCGTGGCGGAGGGCCAACTGCTGCCCCCCCCACCGCAGCAGGCCACTCCGGCGGAGGAAGACAAGGGGAGCGAGGCCGCTCCGTCCCCCTAGGCCTCTTCCGGTGCCCCGCTGAAGGCTCGGGAGCGTGGTGGACGGCCGCGGGCCCCGGGCAGAGCCAAGGGCTCCTCCCACCCAGGTGCGGTGGCCCTGGCTCGCCTAAGACCCAGCGGGTGCAGCCGCAGGTTGTCTCTACCTGGCTCGGGGGCACCACCATCATGGGGGAGCCCTTCCGTTGCTCCGTGGAGGGGCACAGCAGTCCCCACGGGGCGGCCAGGAGGCGCTTTGGCCTCCTTGAGGCCTTTCCCTTTGGAAATGGTCTGGGGAACCACCAGGGCCCATTTTCCGGTATCCCACAACGCACAGCTGCAAGGGGCCACCTCTTGGAAAGAAACCATTGTTCCTTTGTGCTGCATCCTGCTCTTCCTTTAAAAAAAGACCTGTTCGTTTTTGGGTATGGAAAGGGATGATCTCACTGCTGACGGCTTTTGTTTTTATCTGGAGCGACCGGAGACCAGGTGCCCCTCTCGGCGGCCCTTACGAGCGCCAAGCAAGCCAGCCGAGTCGATGCGGCATCTGAACGGGAGAGAGAATCCCGTGCCGCTGCACATTCTCAAGGTGACCTGATTGCAATTAAAGGCGCCGTTTGGATCCCAGTGCCCCAGAGTGGTCAGAGCACCGGTTCCAAAGCACAGGAGGGGGCTGGGGAAGGAGGTGGGCATGGCGTGGTGGAACCAAACATCAACAGAGCTTGAGTTTGGCGGATTTTCCTGTCTATCCCGGGGTGAAGGGGAAGGGAGGAGTCGCCCAGGGGTATTTCCTCCTTACCGGCTGAGCCGTGTTCGGTTTAAAGCCGGGAGACTCGATCCTGTGGTTCGGCTGAGGCTGAGCTTGGGCTGCGTAAGGAGGATAGGTCGGGCTCTCGTGATGGACCCCGGACGAATCTTCTCGTACGGGCTCGGAGGACCGGGTGATGGCTGACTCGGGAGGGGTCCCCACGTCGTCATTGAGGGTCTCGTCCAGTTCTTGATCGGTGTAGGCGCCCCCCTCCGTATCTGTGTCCTCATAGTCAGAAGTGTGCCGGCTGTCCGTGCTGTACATGGAGTACTCGCTACCTGGAGCCGACAGGTAGGACAGGCGGTCGTCGTGAAGGTCCAGGTCGTCACTCGTCGCACCATCTGCCTGTGACAAACATACGAGAGTCGGGCCTCTCAGGGGCGAGGGGACTGCGCCACCTCATTTTATTTATTTATTTATTAAAACATTTTTATGTCGCCCCATTCGCCGAAGCCTCGGGGCGGCTTACAACAATAAATTAAAATAATTATAATCTTAAATTTAAAAAAAATAAAATAAACATTAGCTTAAAAATACAAAAGAGCGTATCTCCCTGCACAGAGCGACGGTTACCAGCCACATCTTGAGAAGCCGATTTCACGACCGGCGCATCGTCGGGGGGTGCTGCAGCGTCACGAGAGTGCCCCGGCTTTGCACGGAGAAAACTCCCAAGCACAAGCTCGTGCGTCTCTGCGGAGGGCTGAGAAAGGGCCCCTGCTTCCCACCTCGGAGAGCCTTGCCGACTCCGATGAGCTGCATTCTGTGTTTCCCCAGGTTTTTAAAATGCCCTTCCAGTGTTCTGGAATTACAGCAGTGGGGCTCACAGGGCCCCCCCCCCCCACTTTCTGGGTTTCTGACACAGAGAGTAAGTAGCCAACGAGAGCACGGCTGGCCGCCTCCTTGGTCCTGAGCTCTGTCGCTGGTAAAGGCAGAGCCTATCAGCCACCCTCAATCTACTAGGAAGGCATCTGGAGGATGGGTCACGGCAGCCAACCCCCTCCATGGCCCCCTTCATGCTCCTTGCCAGATGTAAGGGGATGATCAAGGCCCGCAACTCTTGCAGTGATCCTCCCTCCTGCTATCGCTGGCAGGTGGTGCCTTTCCCACTCCCCGTCCTCCATTCCGGCGCCAACTAGGCAGCCTCGTTGCAGGATGGGACCCCAGACAGTAATTAATGAGCTACTGCTCCAGGCATGGCTTAAGCATTTGTAGTCTAATTAAAACACGGCCTTCTCTATTCTTCATCTCCTGTGCCAAGCAGTAGAAGATGCAAGACTCATCCATCAACTTGGACGGAACACAGAAATGGGGCTTGTTATTTTTGCCCTGAGTACCTCTGCTTGCAAGAGCTCGCAGTTCAAAACAGGTGGAGTTGCTAAAAGGATCAAAAGTTGGTGGGGCTTATTTGCTTTGTGTTTACCCTCTTGTAGAAGCAAGCCTGCTCGAACATTCAGGACCCCAAAGAACTTCTAACACGGGGAACCGGGCAATGAAATTACATGTAAATGTGCACACCAAAACGAATATTAGAATGACAAATCACCCTTAGTGTTACTCACACCGACTGGAGTGCAAATTAGCTATTACTTCCCAAGACAGATCTTCGAATCATAATGAATTGTTGCCCTGAAAATGTCAGTTCAATATGTAACAGCCACCAAATAAAAATTAAAAAGAAAGCAAAGCAAAGAAACAAGAGGAAACTCTTACGCAACACATAAGCTGGTCCTTACAAGGACAGGATCTTTGGCAGAAATGGAACAGGGAACTGAGCTATCCTTTGTTGTCTAATCCAAGGACTGCTTCTTCAGTATTTGCATCTGAAATATCTACCCATTCTCCAGTGACGCCTTGGAAAGTCAGCTAATTGCTAGATGTGTCATACTAACACTTTTTTAAATCTTGTGTTTTGGCAATATCCTCTAACTGCCTCTTTCTGGGAGAGGATTACAATATGGATAAACTTCGTATTGGAATATTCTCTAATATTTACGGAAGCCTTTGTCCTTTATAATTATCTGCTTCCTGGAAGTCAGCAGGCAGGACAGATGGATCTTTTGGGTCCTTCTAGACCGAGTGAAGGTCTAACTGCTCTCCTCTGGTAATGCCACGGGTTCCAGACGTTACGACACTGCCAACATTTCCATGGGTAACATGTAGCCACTCCTTGGGTGTGGGTACATACGTGGGTATTTGGTCTGCCTTCGTCAAAGTCCGTACTGAATTCTTAGAAAGGTGTGTGTGTGTGTGTGTGTACACAAACACTCTTTTTGGATGCATATACAGAAATTGATATATTTAAATCTATGAAGGTGCTTACTGTCCTTTGCCCTGTGGGGCTTTGCTTTGTTGTTTTCGAATATCGTAATACAAACGCAGCTACAAAAAGTGACTGGAAGGACAGCTGGAGGGGGGGGCACGGTTTGGGGGGGCTGATGGAGCAAAAGCCGGTTGGCAATATGCTCCCAAAGTTTGGGGTGTCCTTACAAGGACAGGATCATCGGCAGATCGGAAGGGCCTCGACGAATTCGGTGGCCTCATGGTATCTGTGCAGGTGCGCCCCAGTCGCTCCCCTGTCAGCGAAGGCCATCCTGCATCCTCCACCCCTTTATTATCGCCTGCGTGGGAAGGCACCCCACTGTGTGTCTGCGTACAAAGGAGGAATCGTGGGAATTTGCAAGGAAAATGTCAGCGGGCAATTTAAAAGCCTTGCCCGCTCGGGTGTTCTAACGGAGCTCAAAGACCACAGCTTCCCCTTTTGCAGATCACTTCTTAAACCAATGCTAGCCAGGTTGGCAGTCACTGAAGCGGTTTGACCCTGGCAAGAGCCTAGAAAGGAAACGCAACCACGGCCCCGCTCCACGTTTGAAGGAGCCCCTTGCAAAGTGCCGCCACGTAAATTCCCAGCAGGGAGCGGCTGCAGCGCAGGTCCTGCTTTGAATGGCAAGCATCCCAGGTTCAGGTTCAGGTTCAGGTCTCGGCTTCTCTCAGCAGGAGAAAAACCCTGGGCAGCAGCTGCTGCTGCCAGCCAGTGCTGACAACACTGGGCTAGATGGACCAAGGGTCTAGCTCAGTACAGGACAGCTTTAGGGATAGAGGTGTGTGCGTGTGTGTGTATAGAAAGGGAGGGCAGTGAGTGATGAGCCGTGAGTGAACCAAAGGTCTCCTGCCAACTGAAATTATCCTAATACTCGCTCCGCACAGTGAGAAGAAGGCCCACCCACTTAAATGTCACCCCTACGTCCAAGACCCCAGGCAACGGACCAAGCCCCAAGCGAGAAGCTGGGCTCCATACCTTTCCTTCCGAAACCCACACCAACTGATTCTGCTGCTGCTGAATGGCTTCCTTCAGCGCTCCATACCAGCCGTCGTTCATGGAATTCAAGTTAATCGTAGCTGAAAATAAGGCACATTGCGTCATTGTGGCATTGACAAATACAGTCACCACATACGGAAGTGTCCCGATTGGCCTAGATCACCCACACCGTTATTGCAAGCTTTTTGGGAGGCTTCTGGCATGATGATTCAGGTGTAAAGAAGCAATGGTCTTATGCAGAAGTTCTGCTACTTGGGTATTCCTCGCATTTAAGAATCAAGTTTCCCCTTCGTTACCCGAGCTCTCTTCCGAGATATTAGTGGAATTCCATGAAGCTTTCTTTTCACAGCAGGGAAGTCTTCCCAGAACAGGAACATGCACCTCATTTAATTAGTCTGCAGCGCAGAAATCCAACTGGATATTTTAGACCTGCTTCTCAGGTGATTCTTTAAACTTTTAGGGAGGTTTATTTGAGGGGCTTACAAGGATCAGAGATTCAAAAATTATAACTCTAATAATAGTGAAGCCTTTCCAAAATTGGAGACATTTCCATCAGGCTAACCCAGGACAAAACAAGTTTATGCTAATCCAGAGCAAATGGAATAAATTGTGTGCAGTTTGGCCTACTTTAAAGAGCTGCTTGCAGAGAGAACCAGAGCCAGAATGGAAAATTATTACTTTTCTGAGCATCCCCTATCCTCCACCCCAAGGGAACCACGGCAACCTCCTTCCAGAGGCCCTCACCTGTGAAGAGGTGATGGTTGTTCTTCCTTAGCTTGTGGGCCCTCTCGTATAATTTCCTGGCACTTTTTCGGGATTCGGGACACAGCCGCATCCTCATGGTCTTTACACCTTGCTTCGAATCGGGGTTCAAAAACACCACAATGGGATACCACTGTGCGTAATTGAGGCGGTCGACGGCATTTGGAGTGACGTCTAAGAGCGCGTGTTTGTCCTAAGGACATATCAACACAGAGAAAAAGATGAAAGAAGCTGCCAGGCTGTCGAGAAAGGTGAAGCATCCTGAGAGACACTCTACAGATGAGAAATCCCCTTAAGGTGGGAATCATGAAAGATTATACATGTAATGCCTTTGAACAAAATGATCCTTTAATATCTACTTTGTAAAAACCCATTTTGCAAAAAAACAGGCACGAAGCAGAAGCGACCACTGGGAAAGTGGGGGGGCGGGGGGAGGTTGGACATCTTGAAGACATCTTTTTAGCCTTCACAGGATAAAAAAGGTTGAGGGGGGCGGCAACGTTAAGCAACACAAATAAAGGGAAAATGAGAATGATTTTTACGTTGTGCATCCATTACTTTCAGGGGTGTCCAACTGTTTTAGGCCTTTTGGAAAAGCGTCCTGGGTACTGCCACAAATTGCACGCCGAGGAGGGCAGAGGGCTGACCACAGAAATGACTGGCCCACCCCCCCTTACCTATTGTGTGTGTGCCCTGCATGCCTTCTCTCTCTCCCCAACTGCTTTTCAGTCCTTCGAGTTCTCTGGCCGTGCCTCTCCCCATCGCCACCCAAGTGAACCAATCCCTTGATCCGTTTAAATGGGTCGAGAAAAAGCGCCTCTGCCCAAAATCAGCTTGGGGGGGAAGGAGACGCCCTCCACAAAATACCCGGCCCCCAAGGGTCCTCGGAGGGAGGGCGACTGCTCTGCCCCAGCAGGCGTGTTGGGAGAGGCGGCAGGGAAGACTCCCCCTCCACAGCGCACACACAGAGGAATCGCTGCATTCCTTGGCCGTGGCGGGGGGAAGAATCTGGCGGACGTCAAGGTGCTGCAATGGAGGCTCCACTGGTGTGCCATCATGATCGCGGCTTTAGCATTTGTTCGATTAAAACATGTCTGAAGTTCTAACAACAGTGCTGACGGACCGCTTAAGTGCAGGCTATTTTCCTCAATTGCTGTGTGAAATTCAATTGTAGCCGATGTTTAATTTGCAAAGTGCTCCGCGTTTTCGCTGAGGCGGAACATTTTCGGGTGTTAGCTCTTAAATGCAAAACCGCACTTACTCTGCAGGGGTAGAATGGGTACAAAATGGGGAAAGGGGGAAATGAAGAGGCATTTTGGTCCCCTATTTCTGTTTTTTAGAAATACACTCTACTGGAAGAAGAAATTCAAAACATGCATGAGTAAACAGCAAGGCAGAAAGATCTTATACAGCCTGGAATTCTGCATGCTAAACCTGTGGACCATCTCTTACATTTCACATGTGCCTGCATCATTTGGGGCTTGTACCCTGCGTTCCTAAGCCCGCGGCACTAGAATTCATCCTTACCTGACCAGACAAAAATGAATGAACGAACAGTCCATCACTTACTCTGTCAATTATCTGTTTTATCGTGTGAAGACGAATAATGCCTGAACTCCGCTGGTCCGTACCAGCATCCCTGGGTTCACTTTCTGCAAAAGAGAAAGCACTGAAATGAAAGCACTCATCTGTCACTCCATTACACCCACTTTCAACCCTGCGAGAAAGAATATTATCTGTTCTTTGAAACAGCCCAGGAGTATCTGTAAGCATTTGAATACCACTTTCTAAAACCTCTTGGATTTTGAATGCCGCTTTCCAAACACAGGTGCTGTTTGTTTCAGTGTCTGGTAAGCAAACCTGGTTTGGTGTTGTTAACATGCCTAGGAGAAGTTCTCCAACTTCATACGATAATCATACACAAGGACAGTGTATTTCCCGGTGGCCACAGGCCAGGTCATTCGAAGGTACAGCACCTTCCTTGGCAGCAGGTGCACAGGTGCAGACCCCAAGATCTGCCGTTGGGAGGACCTGGCAGAAGGTGACGGCAACCAATCCTCCTGCCGCTGCCGTTCAGAGCAGATAAGACCACAAAACAGACCGTGATCTTCCTTTGTATACGACTGGGTTCCGTTTTTCTTAATTACGGCATCCAGAGTATCCAGATTGCTCCGAGTTATTTCTTTAGAACCTGCTTTGCCTTCTTACTTACTTATTTGATTTATATGCCACCTGATTAGCCATAGGCTCTCTGGGTGGCTAACTTACAAACAATGAATAAAATAAAACAAGGTAAAAATATGGGTAAAGTTAACCATTCTAAAAGAACAGATAATAATAAAAGGTAAACAAAATATATAAAATAAATAATTCAAAAAGGTTCATGCAGGCACCCCATCCACCTGCTTCAGTTCCAGGCAGTGCTTGAACATTTTGGTTGGCACCTGAAGGTGGAACAGGGTCCAAACAAGAAACCAACACGAAAAAGCAGACAAGGGGCTCACTTGCAATCTGATAAATATCCGGCTCCTCTCTCGCCAGTTTCTCCCGCGCCACGTCCGCGATTGGTCCAAATATTGTAACAGGTCTGAGAAATCCAGCTGGAATTCAAAGCAGGATAATGTTCACCCACCTTAGAAGGGAACTACCAAGTCGCTCCTTCATGGCTTGAAAGGATCAGAGTGCCCAGGTGAAACCCTCTGACTATTTTCTGTCTTTCGTGCTTAAGTTTGTGTTCTCATGGCATGGGAACAGCACTGGTTTTGATAGCAAATAAGGCCGCAAGATTAAACCGACACTATGATACCTCTGCAGGCTTTTGTACAGTCCCCACCTCGCTTGTTATAAGATATGAAAACGCCTCTAGGTAGACTTGGCTACTAGCACTGTTAACTTAAACTAAAAAATGCTGGCATGCTGTTATTTTGACCTTCTGCCCCTTGCAGCACTGGAATGCAGCTGCCGAGAGCGCCTCAGAAACTGGGTTTGGCTCCTGGCTTCAAAAAAGTTCCACACCCTTGAGTGGGCGTTCAGAGGCTCTCAAGCCTGTATTACCTTCCAAGACCTATGCAGGATGTTTCAGAAGCAAGGAAAACAAGCAAGCAGTAAACTGAAGTCCGGGACGGACAATCAGAAAGAGCAGCTTCTCAGCTGACTCCCACCCAAGCGATGCCGTCCGGCTGCCTCGCTTCCTCCAAGCCATCGCTCTGAGTGCCGCTTCTGCCATTCCAGGCCACCCGCTTTCGCTCACGGCACCCTTCCGTGATGCCCGGTACTCCAGGCCGTTCCCGCCCCCGACACCTCCCAAGCACAAGCCCCCAAATTGGTAAGTTGGGTTCGACTCCCACCTTCTCGAAGAACGACGCGCTCATACGCAGGAAACTTGGTCTGCACTGGCTGGGCAGAAAGATCCTCTCTGCTTTTCCGGAGGTTCCTCTTGGAGCTTCGCAGGCCTCGGAACCTCCAGAAATCCGCACGGTCCCCACCTGCCATCTTTGGAAGCGTGTACTGCACGCTGGCCAGTTGCTCAGCTCTGTGTGGAACAAGTGGCGAGAGTGACGGCCGGGCCGATGCGGGAACTGCGGGAAGCCGGGCTGGGCCAGCACAGCCTCGAGCCCTTTTCCTGGTCCAAGAGCCAACTCCCACCCCCCACCCCTTTCCTGCAAAGCTGATGGGTTAAGTCTAAAAGGTCCTGCCAGGCACCAGTGCAGGCTTGGCCTCCTTGAAGGAAGAGCCGCATGCACTTCCGGCATTGCTGATCTGCTTTCTGGCGTTCCGACCACGAGACGACGACCAGGATCACCTGGCCAAGGCACTCTGAAAAGCAGGCCTCAGAATGCAGAGATCTGCTGCAAAGCCAGCTCCTGCACCCAACCTAAATTTCAGCGGTTTTGTCCAAGGACTGACGCAAGGGGAAGGCTTATGAAAGCTTAGCGGGTGAGCTAAATAAGCACTGCTCAGACAGCCTCTTCCAAAATACCTGTTTTTATTGGGTATGATGCCTCTCTCCACCTCTTTGTGATTCTTGCCGATCCGAATGGCCAGCCAGGATCCAAGCTTGCCGTTGTACAGTGTGTCCACCACTCGGAAGACCTCTCCTTTGTTGAAGCTGAGTCCGTAGGGAGACTCCTTCTCGTATTCAAAATGAGTTCTAATATAGAAAGAGTCTCCCACATCTGACTCGACAATGCGCCGATAAACTGCAGGAACGGAGCAGAAACGCACGGTGAGTGCTTCCAGAAATGATTAAAAATTGAAGACAAGCGCTCTGGAAAACGGTGAATCTGAAGTTCATTTTAAGCCTGGAACCGGCCTAAGAAACGATCTGCAAGTTTTTTGTGCTAGCAGGACACTGTATAGAACTAGAAAATCTCAGAACTTGAGATTCCAAGTACATTTGCTTGGAACTTGGGATCACTCTGGTCCGTGCTAAGTCGATTTATTTGGGAGCGTGAAGGAGCTAATTTCTTAGATGTCTTTTAAGGGTCAACACAAGAGAGAAATGGAGCATGAAATCGGGGTCTACTGACATATCCCTGCATAATTTGCTATGCACTGGCAAACACTTTTAACTCCTGTTTCACGAACAGCCAAAAAAGGTTTCCCCTGCTCAAGATGGACAAATTTGTCAATTTCAGGCTTTCAAAGCTTGTACTTTTTCAATCCTAAATTTGATTCCTCTTGAATTTTGAGAAGACCTCTAGTCTTACTTTCACCTCATTCTGAACTGTTAGGATTTTCCCAAAGTTCTAATATGAATTAATAAGCACTTTTGTGCATTTTATACATGCATGTTCCCAGTGTGCACATCTTCGCATGCCATTTCCCCAACATAATGCATTTAATGTCACTTTCTTTAATCACAGCATTTCTGCATGAAAGTTTTGCCTGAAAAACTTCACTACAAAATTTAGAGACGCGCAAAAGGACAACTGAGTTTTGATTTGCAGAGTTCGAAAGTCTGAAATGAGTTATCTTAGCTCTATTTCTCCCCATCCCAAGCCTCCGTCCCAAATTAGAACGGCAGGATATGCAATTCCTCACACTTATACTTAAGTATGTATCCCCGCATGTATTTTGTGGGAAATGGTAACTTCTGAACCATTCTCTTGCATTTGGTCACCACCCCCTGCCCCAGGATTTTCCACTTAGATCCATCTTCTGGACACTGGCTTTCTACTAATGGAAGCAAAGTCATTCCTGAGGCCTCTCCGCATCTGATCTAGGCTTTGTGGGCCAAAGAATATTGCAGGCTGGCTCTCTTCTGCTCCAATACACAGGGCCAACCAAAATTCCAAACAGGACTAATGTTACTGTTAGTCACCTGCATAAGGAAGGTGCTAGTTCCAACACACGCCTTAAAACCAACTCCCATGTTCCCTCAGAGGAGTTCTTGTTCTTGCGTTAAAGGTGATCTGCTTACCGTCCTTCTTCTTCTGTGCCAGAATGGTGACTTCTTCCCCTTTAGGAAGATCAAGGAGAAACAGCACTGCTTCTTCTCGGATGATATTTGTGAAGTCGACGTTATTTACCTGGTTAAAAAAACAGTTGTGTGAATTTTTCACAATTACAAGAACTCTAAATATACAATGAGCAATTTTCTATAGTTGCAGAACTAAGTTTCTCCTCTACAGCATCTGCTTTATTAGGTCTTGACTCTAAGCGAACCTTGGTGCACGATGGTTTTAATCCTACGTCACAGATACTCGGACTGCAGTTCTAAGCACAATTCCTAGAGAGTTACTTGTACCGAGCTTCAAAGGACTTGCACGTCTTCAGGAGCATCCTTGACCCAAAGCTGTCACGGAACAGTGAGTTGCCTACGGACTCGTTCTGGGAACAGAAACTGCAATTCGCAGGGGTCCAACTACAAAGCACTGGCTACTGGGCCAAACTGGTTCTCTGAACAGACGGTGGGGACCACTGTGTAGAGCTAATGCCTCACTGTCTCAACGGCTTTCCCTGAAACCCTTTTTAGTATTGTATTTGTAAGACGACAAGGCGGGATCCTGCAAGGTCAACCCAACGACAAGACGGGCTGATTCCATAAAGGAGCCGCGGCCCCGAGGTTGTAAGAGCTGAGTGGGGTTGTCGAGGGCAGGCATTGGGGGAACAGCGACTCACAGGGCGGTCTTAGGCTGGAGACCAGCTAGCAAAATGCCATGACGGGAAAGCTGCTTTGCCTGACCAAGGCAGAGAATCTCTTGAGAGCGTCCAGGCATGAACTGGGAGCTTCTGGGCTTCGTGTGCAGCAAGCCCACAGGAGGGCCCGTGAACTGCACTAGCAGCCACTGGGATGCCGTTAAATCCCCTCCAACATGCAGGAGGACCACCGGATGGCCCTGCCTGGATGGAAAATGGGGAAACTTCCTGTTCTGCCTAAGCCTTCTACGAGCAACGAGGGAGTCCAGCACTCTGGCTTCCTCCCGTCTCTGGACGGCTCTTTAATCCTTGCACCCAGCTCGCCCAAACCCCCGCACACGGCCCTGTCCCGAGAGCATTTAATCCAAGCCTTCTGCTTTCCGCAGGGTACAGTGCACAGAAGAAAGTGAAGGCCACCAACGGGGTCGGTGTTGGCACTTTGAGTTGCACCCCCTTCCACGAATGGCCTCTAGGGATGACAGGTGTCGCAGCCCAGGCTAGCTGGAGGCCGACACAAGACTGAATGACCATCGAAGCAACTGGGTGATGCTTCCCACATTTGTTTTCCGAAGTCTTTCCCAATAACCTGACTGGGCCATCCCCACAGCTAACCTTGAAACCGTTCCCATGAAATATGGGAACACATAAAAAAATTTCTGGCTTTTTTTTTTTTAAATCCAAGTACGACCACATTGCTTAAGACTGCAACCTACCCTGAGAATTTGATCTCCTTCTTCCAACCCTTCTTTGGCGGCAGGGCTATCCTCCAGGACACCAGCCACAAATATTCCGACATCATTGCCACCAGCCAGCCGCAAGCCCACACTGTCTCCTTTCTTGAATTTTACAAGCTTCATGCTCGGCCTGCAAGGATTAGCAAATAAATCATGTGCACGGAAGGCTGGAGAAAAGCAACTTTCCCCGCACCCTGCAACAGCAAATCTTTACATTTCCTTAAGCTCTGCTCACTGCAAAATGTGATCAAGCCAAGGAACCAGCCAGAACAGGGACTTAAGTGTCAATTCTGCTGATACTGTGCCTGGCTTAGGGCCTGGGTGCCTGAAGGAGCATCTCCTTCCATATGTGGCTGCCCACTCCTTAAAGTTCTGGGGCAGACGTCCTTCTCTGGGTGCCCTCCCTGAAGGAGAATGGGAGGGTGACTACCCGGAGAAGGGCCTTCTCTGGGGTGGCACCCCGACTGTGGAACCCGCTCCCCAGAGAGGTTCGCCTGGCGCCGTCACTTTATTCTTTTCAGTGCCAGGCCAAAACCTCTTTTTTCCCCAATGTTTTAAGACCTGACTGTTTTAATTGGGGTTTTATTGTTAGTTGAATTTTTAGGATGCTGTTTTATTTTTACATTTTGTATTGTTAAACCATCCCAAGACTTTGGTAATGGGACAGTCTGGAAAAGTTTTAAACAAATAAAAATAATAAAAATAAAATTAAAAATAACAGAACCGGGGGAAACCTATTTATAGTAATATGAAAAAAAAAGTAAGGAAGACCTCGGCAGAAGGACAGCAGGAGACACAACGGCCTGTCTACATTTTATGTACTGGATCCTGAAAAGCACAATGTGCGAACGAGGTGGAAGCACGAGTGCCACACAGGGACAAGCGTGGGTGCCCGAAGGGGACCGAGCCCCCACCTCTGGGCAGCAGGCACCAACGTCGTCTTGTGTGTTGTGTGAAGCGACCGCTCAATGACACACAAGCAGCACCCTCAGGGGCTTAATGCAGGCCTTCAAAAGGAGCCCAAAGCCCCCAGAGAGCAGCAGAAACGCCCCAGGCCCCACGCTGGTCCCCTGAAACTCACGGCGGGCCTCTGTTGGAAGAGGAGTGCCTCCTTGGCTGGTGGGAACTCTCCATGGGAAGGAGAATCCCAGTTTTCCAGCTCCTGGGAGGCTCACACAGGGCTAAATCAGGAGGAACCTCTTGTGCCAGAGGCCCAGATAGAGAAGCGGGAGGGCTGCGTGTTCCCCAGGTCAGTTTGAGACGGAAGTGTCAAGTCCAGCAGACTCAGTCCGGGCTTCCCAACCTGGCGCCCTCCCGTTGTGTTGGGACCACAGCTCCTGCAACGCACAGGCAAGTGTGGAGCTGCAACCCCACACACGTGGGGGGCGCCAGGCTGGGGCGGGCTGAGCCGGGGCGTCCCTCTGTGGTGGACCCCATCCACCCGTCTCCTCTCGCTAAAGAGCTGAGGTTCTGGGGAGCCGCACGCAGGGGGTCCATTACCGAAGCATCCCGTCTTCGTGTGTTGAGTTGGGCAACGGGCCGTCAGACGGACTAACCGGCAGATCCACATCAGGCTGACCCGCCTGGGCATAGACTGGTTTTGGCTCTGCTTAGGAAACACAAAAGACCACAGCATGGAATTCACGGCCCGTTCTGTGTGCGAGACGCATGCACTGGGGCTAGCTTATTCTCGCAAAGAATTCCTACTCTCAGGAACAAACAACCCTCAAACGCCCAACACACAGTTAGATGTGAACGTCACAGCAATTGCTGGAAAAGAGGCACAGTTGCCAGAGGTGGGGGATTTAGGGAGAAAGACGGTTGGGCTATCTGAAACAAAAGAAAGGTTGGAAAGGTTCATTAACAGCATCAAGGTTGAAACTGGTCCATCTACCACCGTTCGAATGCGGGACAGAACACACAGTGGAAGTATCAACGATTTCCAGTTTGGGAGGACAAGCAGGGATCACTTGCTTATTCAGAGACTGTTTCTTCTGTGCAAGAACAATCACACAGAGACACTCTGCACCTCCGTGCTGTACCAAGAACGACTGGACGTCAACGTGGAGAGGAGTTCTTTGTTTCAGGGAATGAGGCAAAACGTATCATCATGTTGTTCCTCATGTTTAATTCACTGTGCAAAACCGATGAGTTTTCATTTCAAGCCTCTTCTTAAAATAGAACATGTGGGGATGAATGGATGTAAAGACTCAGAATTTAGCTTCAAGGTCTAGCAAGGGCCAACGACTGTGGTTCTGCAGGAAGGCTGGCCTGCACAATCTCTTGTGACGTTGGGACAGTTAAGGACTTGGGGGACCCGGACAGTCGCCCATCTAGTCTGGCGTTCTCGCCACGCAGTGGCCAATGGGCACCCACAGGGAACCCCAAACAGGCCACGAGGGCACCCCTTCCTCTCATGCTCCCCAGCACTGCTGCACCGTGGCACACTCGGGGTGACACACAGTCGCTGGGACCACGGCTGGCCTTTATCCCCAGAATTTTTCCACCCCTTGCAAGTGAGCTCCCTACAGATGCATTAGCCTACAAATGATGGGAACGACGGAACGGCGTGGGAAAGCTTCCGGCTCTTTCCAAGCGCGTGCCCCCCGTTTTGCAGGCTTCCCAAGCAAAATGCCAGGTGGCTTCTTTCCAGACTGACAGCAGAAGGGGCCTGGTTCATATGGAAGCCATTTCCACCCTTTGGCCAGATGAGAGAATTTAAAAAAGAAACGAAAACACCCCACTGGATAACTGTAAAGACTGTGAATTTTAGGTATGCTCTCTCTCCAGAAAACCCTCATTTACAAGCAGGCTCCTCTTCCAGAACTGGCACCATGATCTAAAGCACCAAGCAAGAATGCAGTCTCTGTACCTCCTGTCCTGGCTCCTCTTTAATAATGTTCCAGTCCTCCTTCCTTGTAGGCTTGTTTCAGAGAAAAAACAAGGTCTCTCCAGCCACTGCAGGAGGGGCAAGCTTTAGAGGATGCAAGAAGCTACATTTTTTCCTCGTAGCCACGGACCATTTAAAATAGGGTTGGGCAACATGTGGTCCATGGGCTTCGTGTGGCTATCGTAGTCGCCTGGTGTAGCTCCCCAACTCTGCCTCACAATCCCACACCATGTCACCAAAACGACAAAACTCGAGGTTCTAAGCAATGGCTGGGCAATAAATCAACGTAGCTGCATGGGAGACTTGCAGGATGCAGAGGGAACTTTCCGGGTGCTGCTGCTGGTTCCTTCAAGATGAATGGCATAAAATGGGTGGAGTTCATATTTTGTTTCAACTCTTGTTCTGGTCCTCCACACACTGAAAAGTAGGGCAGCACGGAGTTCATATTCCCAGGGAAACCAGCGATCTCCTGGGCTATCACATCGAGTATGCATCTGGGCACATTTCAACTTCCTCAGCTGCAGGCAAAGGCTCACTTGCCAGGGCTGGAACTTTTTTCGCTAACTTCCTGATAGATCAAGACGCCCTTTGATTAATCAAGCAGAAGCTTGGCTTTCAAAACAGTATTTTAAACCCAACCGCTAAGAAATGCAGAGGGAAAGCTTGACCTTTGAAAAAGAATCCTCTCGGACAGCTGGGGACAAGAAACCTGAAGCCCTCCAGATGTTGCTGGGCTGCAGCTTCAGAATTCCGTAGCCACCGGTAATGCGAGATGGGCCAATGGGGAAGGGAGCCGCACGCACACCTGGAAGGTGGCCGCTTCCCGTCCCCGGCTGAGAGACCCCTGTCCTAGCTATGTAGCCATCTAAACACAAAACAGCGACGCCTGGCTTCAGAAGGTGTGTTTTTATCTATCTGCAGATGCAATCGGCTGCGAATGGCACATCTGGTTAATCAACTAAGATTTCCTTCCTTGTGTTAACACTCACCTGGAAGTGGTGGCGTCTGTTTCTCATTTTTCTCCATGACTGGTTCTTCTGCTGATTTGGGAACCGGGGGCTCCTCCACATTCTTCACAGGGGTAGAGACAGCTCCTGGCTTTGCTATTCTTTCGTCATCTCTACTCCGGAGACTAAAGTGGGAAAAGCAGAACTCCACTTAAAAACTGCAGTAATAAGGGCACCTGGAAATGTCCAAAGCCCAGTGTATCAGCCAACGTTTGCTTATTTGCTGCGCGTTTCAGCTGCCCAATAACTAAAGTTCTCTGGGCAGCAACTCTTTATTTCAGAACAAATAAAGAGTTCTGAATAAAAATAACATAACACAGGCAATAAAGAATAGCAGTTACAGCATCAGAAAGCCACATTAAAACCAGCAGCAGAATAAAATGCTAAAAACTGTTCTTGGTGTGACTGAGAGGTTTTATTTATTTTTCGATTTATATCCTGCCTTTTTCCTACTCAAGGCAGCTGACATCATTCTCCTCCTCCATCTTCTCCCCACAACAACAACCCTGTGAGGTAGGCTGGGCCGAGAGTCTGTGAGTGGCCCAAAGTCACCCAGTTGGCTCCATGGCTGAGTGGGGACTCGAACCCGGATCGCCTGAATCCCAGTCCCGTGCTCTTAACCACTGCGCCACACTGGCTCTTTGCCTGGCACTGCAAGACCAGGTGCGAGACGGACCTCTGGCTACCTGCCCTTCCTCTTCTGCCAGGGCCACCTGGCGGAAGGCCTTAAACAACTATCTTAATGTCCAGGTAGGTTCCTTCGGGTAACCTGCCCCGAGCTTTTTAGGGTGTTAAGAATTAAAGCACCTTGAATTGGGCTTGAAACTGACTAGCAACCAATGCAGGCGGCGAAACTGGGTAGCCCCACTGAGAGTATGGCCTGAAGCCATGTCAGGCATCCGCCATGCTGAAGCTCAGCAGGTCTGGAGTTGGCCTGGACTTGGAGGGGAGACCAGCAGGGGGCTGCATGTTGCCATTCATTCATTCATACTGCGATTTATATCCTGCCTTTTTCCTACAAAGGGCTCAAGGCAGCTGACATCATTCTCCTCCTCCATCTTATCCCCACAACAACAACCCTGTGAGGTAGGCTGGGCTGAGTGTCTGTGACTGGCCCAGTTACCCACTTGGCTCCATGGCTGAGCGGGGACTCGAACCCGGATCCTCTGAGTCCCAGTCCCATGCTCTTAACCACAACGCCACACTGGCTCTCTCTACACCACTGCCACCTTCAGTTCTGCCGGGGGGGGGGGGGGGGGGGGAGTAGGAAATAAGTACAATACATACATAAATATTCTGGACTAGCCTTCTGTACCATGCAAGGTAATGCTCTCAAGAGAAGATTTCCCGAGTGAGGAAGACTGTAGCAAGAGGCACCCCAGGCTTTTTCTGGAAGGGGCAGGGGTGGGACCCCAGGGCTGGCCATCACCTTGGGTGTCCATCACCTTTGCCGCGGGGGCTGCATAGCAGAAAGTTCCGGATGAACCCATGCGAGGGGGCTGGAAACCGGTTCGGTGAAGGGCATTCAGCTCTGTACCTTCGGCCATGCTTCCTCCTACAGCTTAAAAATTCGGAAGCTGTCCCAGCACTCGATAACAACAGGCAGGACAACACAACCACCAAGGTCTGTTCGGCTTTGTACTACCCTCTTGTCCAAAGTCAGCCTGCAGGACTTGCCCGGCTGCTACAAGACGACACGAATAAAGGGCCGGTGTTTCAAGTCAGAACTCTGAAGGCAGCAGGAATGCCTCCCAAAGGGAGCAGAGGGAGTTCTCCAACAGCGGGCAGCACTTTTTTCCTCATTTATTAAAAGCTTTTCTACTCTGTCCCCTACTAGCGTCTTAGGACGGCTTACAATAAAACGAGTAAAGCAAAACAAAACAAAACAAAACACCACAGCACCCGACAAGCGAAATACTAAAACCCTGGTTAAAACCAATTTAAAAAGGGTTCGGCCTGGCACCAAAAAGAATACAGTGATGGCGCCAGGCGGACCTCTCTGGGGAGCGTGTTCCACAGTCCGGGTGCCACCGCAGAGAAGGCCCTCCTCCAGGTAGCCATCCTCCTGATCTCCTTCAAGGAGGGCTCCCAGAGAAGGGCCTCTGCCCCACATCCCAAAGGGGGGGTGCACATAAGAAAGGTGCTCCTTCAGGTATCCCGGACTCAAGCCACTTGTTTGAACCTGGCAGTCAGAAACCCTCTGAGTACTTCGGACTGATGTAGTGCCATAGAGGAAAAGCCACCAAGGCGCGAAAAAGACTCGGGTTCAAACGGCACTCGGGTGGGAACCTCCCAGGATGTCTTCCCGTCCTGCTCAGCACTGGAGGTGAGAAAACCACCTCTGCAGCCGAGCTCCTTTGACAATGTATGGAAACTCTTTGGCATGCTCTCCCCAAGGAGATCTGCCTTTCTTTTTGGCACCAGAAGAAGACCTTCCAATCAACCAACCAATATTAATAAGTAATCAATCAATCAATCAATCTTGATAAGACCTTCACTTTGGTATTTTTGCTTGCATTTTATTGTTATTTTATTTTTGAATGTGTTGCTGGCTTTTATTGTGTTTTTATTGTACTTTTACCTTACGGTCGTGAGCTGCCCAGAGGTGCTGTGGCACAATTGGGTGGCACACCAATGTTTTAAATAAATAAGTAAACTCACACTTTATGCTTACAGCAATACGCTCTGCCCCCCCCCCCCCGTGCGACCAAGGTCTTAATACCTGCCACAGGCCACCGCAAATTGCTCGGATTTCCTAATGCAGTTGCTTCTCCCCCACAAACACACCATAGGAAGCCTTTCTTCAGGGGCGAGCAATGAATTTCCTGCAGCTAGAGGGCACAATTGCCTCCATATTTGCAAAGCCATTGTGTTAGGACTTTGGAGCGTTGCCTGGTACACACAATAGCCTATTCTACTGGAGCAAATCTCGGCTAAAAGCTAGCAAGTTGCGGGTGGAGGAGGTACTCAGTCTGAGAGCCGGGCTTTTCGTGGCTTTGTTAAAAGGACAACACACCGGTGCTGCCGCCCAGCAAAAAGACTGAGAAACGACCCAAAGCAGGAGGGCTGCTGGGCATTTACTTCACTGCCGTGTGCTAGGTTTTAAAATAATTTATTCTTCTTGGTTTAGAGCCTTCTGTGATGATGGTCACAGGATAAAGAGGCTTTAATTAAATAAATGACTACACAAGCACACGGTGTGTAGATCACGGCTGCATTCAAATGCATATTTCAGAGGGGAAAGAGAATCCAACCCTGGGCTGTGCCTTTTATGTTACTTTATCATAGCAAGCTTTGGTTTTAACTAACCATTTCTCCAAGAAGTTGAAGTACTTTCCTTCTTTCCACCCCATGAGGCTGCTGCTGAAGTGTGTGCATGAACACACACCAACACCAGCACAACAGAAGTAAATGTTTTTAAACTGAATGTACCAGGAATCTCCTACAGTTTTGGCAACACGGTTCTGCCAGCAGGACTGGCCTGAAGATGTAACATTGCAGGTGAAATCTGGAGAGACCTGACTTTAGAGCTCCCCCCGCCGCCGGTTCCCCTGCAAACCAGCCATGCAATTATGCGACTTCAACAGACTGCTCAAACATGCAAAGCTGTCTTTACTGAACCACACGCCGCTCCGTCTAGCTCAGCGTTGTTAATTGGATTGGCGGAGGCTCTCCAAGGACTGGGAAGGCGTCTTTTCAACCTTAGTTCAAGGACTCACTGACCTCTGAAATGGAAAAGTGAGGAACTAAACCTGGGAGTGTCTGCACCCAATGGGTGCCCGTCCAACATGGTGCCAATTCAGTTGATCCAGATCCAGAGAGGTCTTCCCCAGACTTCTCCAGGTGCCCTTCTTGGCCAGTATGGCCGATGATCTTCGGTGGATGATGGAAGCTGCAGCAGAATGCATGCTTCAGGAAGGCCCCATACGAACCGAAGGTGGGTTGTGCTAATTCATGGCTTTGTTGCATTGGTTTAGTTGTTTAAAGAGAAGAACAAAACTACAAGAAAACCGAGGAGGATGGAATGGACAGCTAGGCTCCTTCACCGTCCATGGTGGTGCAGGAGGAGGAACGACGGTGAATGCAGCTTCTCTTAGCCAAGCGGAACCTGACACACACTCTCTCTTCTTTCACCCAGCCACCATTGAGAGAAGAAAGATGGACATACGTAGCAGAACAAGAAAAAGAAGAAGAGGCCCATGGTATGAAAAGCTTGAAGGCCACCAACCTAGGACAGAGGGCATACTCGGCTGGCAGAGTTCAGCCTGCAAGTGTCCAAAGCTACTTTATGCTGGCGGAGTTCAGCCTGCAAGTGTCCAAAGCTACTTTATGCTGATTGGGATGCCTCCATCTCTCACGCATGAGCCGTATCCGTTGCCATTAAGTGTTTCAGCTCTTAAGAGACCTCTTAAAATATTGAAGCCTGAAGAACTTCCTTCTGAAAGGCCCCTTGATCGTCCCTCGGCCCCTTCTGCTTCCCCATCTGCCCAGAATCTTATAATTATTTGATGTTATTTGTCAAGAGGATGACGTTCGGAAGTTTCGGCTTCATGGTCCACTTGCTTTCAAGGCATCCATCTGTCAGCATCATGGACGTCCCTTCGGAAGCAAGGGCATCAACGGACCCCCATCAAGGAGACACCTGGACAGGCATGGCAGGCAGCAGAGCAGAACAGGTCGGAAGCAGGCAACTGGTGACGTGGGTCAGCGGCAGCTCGGCAAGATGCAGGAATGAGGACAGGAAGTGACACGTCAAGTCAGAATCAATGTCCATCTTGCCCAGTATGGCCTCTCCGAAGGGTACTGGCTCTCCAGGGCCTCACCCACCTCCTGGACAGACGCCTCCCCTACGACCTGAGCCCGGAATGGATGGCCGAGACGGCACGGTGCACAAGCAGGCGCTCTGCAGATGAGCGACGGACCTTCCACGAACGCGAAGTGGCTTTTCGGCCGGGACTGCTCCCACCCGTCCTCGTGCCCCTTCTCTCTGGGCTGGCAACCGGGAGCACTGCTTCCGTACCCAGGTCTTGTAGCCCTGCAGCCTTTTTTTAGGTGTGTTGGAATCTTTGGTGTGTCTGAAACTTTGCCCTGCTGCGGGCTCCTACTTGGTTTGCTCTGGTTTTAAGCTGGGTTAAACCTTTAGAGGTTCATATATTTGGCAATTCATCACATTGTGTTTTAAGTCCTGTTAATAGCCCAGAGAACGTGGACTATCAGGTGACAGTACACAGGGGATCTGGCCTTGGGGCCTCCGATTCCTAGCATCTGTTCCTTTTCACAAAGCCCAATACTCTAGGGCCCCAAAATGGTTAACTGAGCAAGGTATGCCCTACGATCTGATTGTCTGAATTGGGGTTTTATTCTCAGTTGAATTTTTAGGGCGCTGTGTTTCATTTCACATTTTGCATTGTTAAACCGTCCCCAAGACTTCATTAAGGGACGGTCTAGAACAAGTTTTAACTAAATAAACAGCTCTAAGCATCAACAGAAATTTTTCAGTTCAGATGCTAAAGGCCATCTATGGAATTTCCTCCCTGTTTGTAATTTAAAAGTTGGCCCAGTTCACAAGTTAACAGCAAACCCAGGTTTAGTTGTTCCAGGCCAAGCTCTGGGGTTGTGCATTCCACCCTTCTTTGGCACACTCCAATTCCTTCTTTCTTTCGTTTGTTCAGACAAACCCTGAACCAGTCTTTACATCCAGGCCAAGAGCGTTATGCCTGTGCCCCAGTCCAGATATTAATGCTGAACGATGGATTTGCACAAAGAAAACGGGAGTCTGAGCCTAGGGTACGCACAACCCGAGGCTTCCCGTTACATTTGTGAACCAAACCACTGCCCTCTGTGTGCTCACTGTTGGGCTGAACGGTTTACTTTATTCTAACACCCGCCACACTGTGCAGATTAATTTTCTTGTAGTTACTGCCCCGGGGAATAAACAAGCAACAGAACAAAGCAAGGATGCAGGATGTGTCCCTGATTCAAACATGTTGGAAGAGGAAGTCGACAAAAATCAAAACAGACTGGCATTCAAACTCTGAACGAGAGAAAGCCAGCCGAATTCAACCCTGAGAGATCAATTTAAAAATGGCAGCACCGCCTTCACCCATCCCGCTTCTTGAACTTTGGAGTAAGCATTCAATTTTCACTGGTTTTACGATAATGCAGGATCTGTCCTGACAGTAGGTGACAGAACGTTGTTAAAAATTACAGCTGTTTTCCCCATGAGTCATCAAAGGTGTTATTTCGCTGTGCGTGTGTTCTGGCAGTACAGCTTTTACTTCTAACATCTGTGCTTTGTCAGGAAGGGTTTTTTTGGCTTGTTTTTTGTTTAAAAGTGCAGCATTTGAAAATAACCTTCAGTCACAAAAACAGTGAAATCAGCTCCATGTTTGTTTCAGCTGCAGCTCCTTTCTTACCGAATTTCCGTTCTGCCAATCAACGTGCAAACATTTCCTCCACACGATACGCCATTTTATCTGCTTGCACTTTTGGCAGCGTAAAAATGTGAGTGAGGTTTGAGTCCCGTCTGCAAGAAAGGTTTTTGCTTCTTTCATAAAGCATTATATTGTGCGAGAGGGGCCTTTCCGATAACCTTTTACAACCAACGGTCAATGTTCGCACATGCAGTTTCGTGGGAAAGGAAGGCTTCTTTAAAATGGTCGAGCAAGTAAAAAGCCTGACTTCCTAAGAGGACGACACTGCAAGAGCTGCCTTGCCAAGTCAGACAAGCCCAGCACACTGTCCCCAAGAGTGGCCAGCCAGATAATTAGTCTCGATAAAGCACTGAAACTGGAAGCTTGTAAGTGGAATACAAAGAGGGCTGAAAGCACGCTTTTTTGAGAGAGATGAGCAGTACTTTACATTTATCTTTCATGTTTCTTCCAAAGTAGCCAACAATTTAAAAGTTGACCAAACACCATCATATAATCTGAACATTAAATAATGTTTTAAAAGCATTCGGCAGGAGCATAAGAATACATTTCCATGAAGGCATTAATTAGCAGCAAATAACGATAATCAGTATCTCTAAGAATAGGTATCAAAGTTAAGTATCCAGAGCTAAGCCAAATCAACCAAAGCTAAGCCAAATTCTGAATTAGTCACGTGTGAGTCAAGTGCCTGGAAGAGGAACACCGGGGCCCAGATTCCTTTCCGCAGGTTGAGTACTCCACTGCGTTCATTCCACCATGGAAAAACTTTAATGCCCAGTCAATGTCTAAAGAACTTCATTCAGCGAAGGCACAGTGATCGGCAGAACTATAAATCAGCCTTCTCCAACTTGGTGGTCTTCAGAGGCATTTGGACCACAGCTCCCAGAATTCCCATCCAGCAGGGCCATTGCCGGGGAATTCTGGGTGCTGCAGTCCAAATGCGTCTGGAAGACTCAAGGTTGGGAAAGGCTGCTATAACCCAACTGGTGGCTCATGGGTTGAATCCAGCCCTCCAGACCATCATATTTGGAGCTCACTGCAATTAATAAGCTTTAATCTGAGTTTTTAAAAAAGAACGCATCGCTACAGTTTCGCTCACAAGGAAAAACAGAAGTGATTAAAAGTGTAGCATATGCCTGACATTCCAAAATGATCCCTCTTTGTTAGCTATGCTGGCTAGGGCTGATGGGAGTTAGAGTCCGACATCCTCTGGAGTTCCACACATTCTCCACCCCTGCTCTCCACTGTCACTGGGGCTAAACCAAAACTCCAGGTTCAAGCATGACAATAAAACATGGTTCACTAAAACCAAAAGCTTCATCAGTTGACGGTCCCTCCTCGTAAGCACCCAATGCTGAAACTCACTGGCGTAACAAGAAAGCAGAGTTTGGTTTTAAGATGCACCCAGGTCAGCCAGCAGCTCAGAAACATTCAGAGTTGCAGCACTGATTTTCACATCTGCTTGGCCAAAAGCTCATGCATTTCCTTCTTAACACTGCTTCTTAATAAGTAGCATATGACAGACTGGTTAACATTGCTAGATTGAGCCTAAGGGCCAAATGGAATACATGCTTTTGACACGAGAGAATTCCGTCGCTCTGGAATTTCAGCGGCGTGCAGCCGAGTTTCATGGCATGCAAGCCTCTTTAATTAGCATGGGCTGCATTTTGATGAAGCCAAAAGTACACACCCACACTCTACCCTTTCGTGGCCGCACTGCTTCTCTCTTCGCATGAGCAGCAAAACAAGCTGGGATCTGGCACTTAACCACAGTTTCTGGTGACGTGCAAACCCAGAATGCTGGTTAAATGCTTGCAAAAGGTTACCCCAGAAGCCGGATAAATCGGGGTTGAACGCTGGCATATTCAATCTCAGTTAGTATGGGAAGCTATGGATAGGTGCTGGGATCCTGGCTTGCTTGGGTGAAAGGGTCATTAAGTCAAGCACAGGTGCCGGCGTATATCCTAAATAATTATCATGGTCACCTGACTGGTGTGCAGCAGATTAAAATGGAAACATGGGAAGCATTTTCACTAGCAGCTGTTAATAGGGCCAGTATTGGAACCTACTGAAAACCTCCTGACAAATAAATAGGTTTCTCTCTTAATTCCACTCAACTATTTGCATGCCTGCTTGGCAGCTTAATGTCACTTGACTGAAAGGAATCTAAGCCCTCACTCAGTCAGGCTTTGCCACTTGGGGAATATTTGGTGGGAAGACAGCATGAAAAAAATCTCTTGCTTTCCTGAGCTGAGTGGACAGGGAAGCACGTTTAGGAGGGGGGAAGTCCTGCAGCTACCCAAGTCCCAAGCCAGAGAACGTTTTCAGGGTCTGGACTATTTCTGTGAACTGGACTCAGAAGTGAACTGAAAAAGGAAAGGGTAGAAACAAATCTGCTCCGGCACATCAGAACTCCGACTTTTTTGGAAACCCCCATCTTCATGCGTAATACAGGTTAAAAAAGTGGGTTTAATCATTGAAGTAATTTCTTTTATGGCATTTCTTTACTACCCGGTAGCCAAGGCTCTCTGTGCCTTAATGCCAGGATTTCAAGTAGAATAGAATCAAGCAGGGAAGAGTAAAATTCGTGCAGTAACACATGTAAATATGGAAAGGCAAAAGCCTGTAAAAGACTCCGAAAACTGGGGAGAGAGGCAGGAGGTCGTCAGTGGCTGAAAACAGGACAACTGGAGGGCCACGACCAAGGACGTCCCTCCTCGTTGCACCAAGAGACCTGGGGAAGGGCACTTCAGGGTGGAGCCTACGATCCATGTACACAGGCCAGGGTGCAGGGGATCTCTGGGCTAACCTGGCCCCAAGCCATCCCAGCTTTTCTGAGTTAGCACCAGCAGGGTTCAGGTTGTCTTCCCCTCCGCCACCCCCACCCCCGCAAGGCTAGGAACACTGGCGTTGCCCGAGTCTTGTTTTCTACCGGGTGCACACGCAAAGACATGCAAAGCAGGCACGGGGGAGCGTGGACGTGAGCCCGAAGCCCGTGCCGGGTGCAGAGTCGCCACCTCTCGCCAGGGCCTGTGCTTCCTCTGGGCCCGACCCGAGGAAGCCCCCAGCCCACCCCACATGCTGCAGCCAAGGGCCCCCTCTCAGGAGGAGGGACACCCCCCCCGGCCATGCCTCGCAACTTGGCTGGCAGCGGCATGCAGTCTCGGTGCCGGGCAGCGGCATGCACCACCCTGGGCGATCCGCCCGCGACCGGGCGCTAACGAGCCCGCTGCTTGGAAGAGTTCGGGGCGACCATCACCTGCCATTGCTGGGCTGCTGCGGAGAATGCCTGGAATGGTCCGAAGGCTCCGACTTCTGGTCAGGGGATCGCGAGCGGCTGCGGCGGGGCCTGTCATGGGATCGGTTGGAATGATCAGATGCCAGCGATTGAATTTCTGAGATGTCTGTTAAATAAAAGTGGTTTGTTTATGAGATGAGTCAGAATCAAAAAGGATGGCGTGACCTGCCCAGGAGTGGGATTACACTTCTGCAGAACTTCCTACGTTCTGCGCAAGGGAAGTGCATCGGGCTGTCGGCACTTAATTTGGTCCCGTCGGAAAGGCAAGGTATGTGCGGTTTCCCGTCATGGCGGTGGAGAGTACGGAGAGACTGAGGATATCCTGAAGAGATGTGGAATCCCAACAACTATATGACTGCTGCCACAGAGTTTGTCCCCCCGTTTCTGATCTAGCCCAGGCCGCCTACATCTGAGCACTCCTATTTTTGTGGCATTGGGAAACAGAACTATAGAAATAGTCAAGTTTCTTCTGAGACAGAGGGAAGGAGGGAGAAAGGCAGGCAGGCAGGCAGGCAGGCAAAACAATCTCTACTCACCATCTCTTTCTGAAGCATTGGCAGAGTGAATGCTATCAGAAAGATCCGGGACATTCAGCAAAGTTGCTCGCTCGTCCCTTTGAACCACCATCTTCAACTTGCCCTTTGACCTTTCTATTAGGGTCTTGGCATCTGTCAATGACATATTTTCCGTGACTGTTCCGTTTATCTGCAACAGAGCAAAAGGACTACTGATAGGAAACGAAGCAGTGCTACCTTAATGGTAACTATGAAGAACTGGTGGGTGAGGGGGAGGGAGGGAGGGAAGGGCCTCTGGCTTTGGAGGGCTGATTAGACTGAGGCATCTGCAATCTCTCCTGCCTTTGGAAGATTCCAGGGGGCTGCACTCATAACTCTAGGAAAAGCCAACCAAGGACGAAGAAACCTGCAAACCTGAATCAAACTGCAGATGATTGTCAGCAAAATGTGCCTTCAGGAGGGAGGGAGGTAGGAAGGATGGACAGACGGACGGAAAGACAGACAGACAGGCAGGCCCTTTAGTGAAAAAGACGGAATCCACGAACTTATTTTCCTGAATGAAGTACCAGCTGTGCTTACTCCTCTATTCCAGAGCCAACATCCAGCCCTTTGACCAGGATCAGTGTGACCTGACCAACTTGTAAACACATCAAAAACAAAAACTAACTTTTGTTGGCCGCCACAATTTGGCCTTATGACTTACTGCCACCCTAAATCATGGAAATGGGTCTAACTCTGCAGGACTTGTCAATAACTGGCTGAGGGCGTTTAACCAACTCCAGATCTCCTTTCCTCTCCTCCACGGCACCACTTTTAGGCATCTGTCCCGGGGCTCTGGCAATAAAAACCCTCTTTAAAGCCAGCTAAGGGGAGAGATGGCAATTTAGGCACCGGTGGAGAAGTCGCATGGGACTAACAGACCCTTCCCCATGCCTGGCTTCACAAATCCAAAAAATTGGGGCGGGGGGGAGGTCATGCCAAAAGAGGGGAAGCAACATTAGTATGGAAACACGATCACCACATCATCTTCTTTATGGGTTCCACACACACTGCCTCGTGGCACCTTCAAGAAGTATGTTTTGGCATCACGCTTCGGTGGACGTTTCACGAGAGCCACGGAGCGGCAGTTTAACACAAGGACTGCGCTTGGGTGCCTTTAAATACCTATAAACGGAATTACTGCGATGGCGAAGGTCAATGCGAAAAGGAGCAGGGAGGCCCTTCCTCGGCGCCTAGTTATCTCAACAGGATTAAGAGTTATGGCAGGGAACTGCACGGAGCTATCAGCAAGGGAGCGATAGCCGCCGGCTCAGACGAAAACGCTCATCCGATTCTCATCTAAAACGATGCTGCCTCGAGGCAACTGCGGCCGCCACGCACGGCTTCCCTGCAGCGCTGCGGCGACGTCCTCCAGGAGGCAAGGGAGGTCTATCACTAAAGAAGGGAACTGCTCTCCTTACTCAACTAGCAGGACTCCGCAAGCATTAACCTTCTGCAAAATGAAGGGCCGCTGCTTCCATTTGTGCGTTCCTATGCCTTCAGTTCCGGTGAATTGGCGCAAGGCGGAGGAAACGGGGCCAGGTGCTTAAAGATCATCACATTTCCAGAAGACAAGCTGCTCAGAGCCCACAGGGCCTCTCCTTCACCAAGCCCGGAAAAATGTTCAAGGGGGAGGGAACCATTCACTGTACCTTCAGTACAACGTCACCTTCCTGAATATTGCCGTCTCTCGCCGCCAGGCTGTCTTGGGAGATCTCCTTCACAAAAATGTGGCTGGCCAAGCGCAACCCATATTCTGCGGCGAGCAAAGACAAAAGGGAAGCACAAACATTGTTAAAGGAAAGAGCACAGGTTTGTCTTGCAACAAAGTTCATCTTCCTCGGCTCTATCGATCCCCGGGCGGTGTGTTGGAGCAACAAGGTGTGAGCAGAGGGGGGCCGGACTGTCTCCATGTTTTTCTGAGTTGAAGAAGGCAGTTCCCCACACTGGGGGTGGTCGGGGCAGAGGGCCTTTGCAAGACGGGCTTACTGTCCCACTCCTCCATCGAGGGACCATCAGTGCCCTGTCCCGCAGGCAGGGGTTGCAAGGGGACACTGGGATTGATCCTGCACCACATCGGGATGGCTGGATTGACTCCAGAAGCCGCAGTGATCCCACCCCTGAGCCATGCTGGGCCAAGCTGAGCTCCTGGGCAGGTGAAGGTCAACTGGAGAAGGTTCCTTCCACCAGGCCAGGTCAGTGGGTCCCCTGGTCCTGCATCACCAGCCCCGACTGGCAGTGTTTCCTTGGCGTTTCAGGCAGAGAAGGGCCTTTCTGGCCTTTCCAACTGGATGTGCTGAAGATCAGAACAAGGAACCTCTGAGCTAAGGCCCTTGCGTCTGCCTTCCCCTCATGCCCACCAGCATTTCTAGGGGCGTACAAACAAGAAGCAAAGGCGTAGCTTGATGTAATGGGACCACTTCCCATTTTAGTCCTGGAGAAAACTGTGCCTCTGTTTGGGGAACAGTCCTGCTCCCTCCTTGCTCCACCTTTATCAAGGCTTTGATGCTCAACATGCTGGTGCTTTTGCCATATTTAACATTCTTGCTTTTATCATTTTACAATATCATTGTTTCAAATAGCTGAGCCTCCCTTGAGGATTTTTGTTAACTACAGTGTTCCATACATTCTAATAGCAGCATCAAATCACAGAAAAGTTGCCTTCAAAGGGGACAAGGAGGTCACCAGATCCGGTCCCGAATCTCCAAAGCATCACCAGAACTTGTCCCTTCTCCTCTAACTTTGATAGGAGCTTATAGCTGACCAAACATCCTTTAGCTCGGGTTTCCTGTCTCTAGTTTTTTGTGCTCTGTGCAGACCTAAAGCAGGACCTCAGGCTGCCTGGGGGGTCTCCTCTGGTTCATGTGATGAATCTAGATCCCAGGGTTGCTCAAATGACCGCCCATTATTTGGTGGTTTCTCAAGCTTTCCTGGTTTCCCCTGCATTCTAGAAGGTCGATCCTCATGCCTTTCCCAAGTCCTGGGTACCGGCTATACATGCTTTAAATTAAAACCCGCCAGCCCTCGGCTCTGCCCCTTTGGCCTTCACCCTGGCCCACACCTGCAACGGGGCGCCCCGAAGCTTCTCCAAAGTGGCATTCAGCCCTCCGACTGAAGGATGCTCAGCACTCTTGAGCTCCAGCACAACATGGGCGCAAGTGAGTGCAAGCAAATCTGCTGTTGTTAAAAGGCAGAGAAGGTTTAAAAAAACATTTGAAACTGCCGGAGCAGAACTGTGCTGAAAATTTTACGGGAACGGTAGCATCCGGCCAGAAGGCAAAGATATCGTACTGTTACCTAACAATGAAATGCTCAGTTCTGAATGGCTCTGAATTGCCTATTTGCATAATTAGTTTAGCACTCTCTGTAACTGGTATGCAAAACACTGCTGGGAGATTGACTCCCAGGTCATTAACCGACAGTCTGCAGTCATCTGTATAATTGAGGAATGGCTATATAGCTAGATGGTTTTGCAAATTCATTCTCAGAGGAACAGAGATCAGAAGAGCCAAATTGTTTGCCAGGAATACAGCAGGCTAAATTAGCATCACACCTCGTTCAGGTAAGCAAAAACCTCCAAACTGGCATTAAAAAGTTAAGCTGGTGAAAAGGGAAATGTGAAGTAGAGAACAAAGCTGCTTCTCCTTGCTTTCTGATTTCCTAGAAAGTTCTGCACAGCATGGAATCACTGCGTCCATCCCTAATACAGAGAGCTTTCCAATTCTGGGCTGGTACTTGATATCGGGCAAGGTTAATGAGCTATTGGGGTCTCTGGGCAATGAGGCCTCTGGGCAATCTAACAGCTTGCTGCTTTCATCCGAATCAAGCCCGGCTCCAAAATGAAAAAGGACACAAACCGCTTAATGTTGCGTTGGTCCTGGAAAAGATGATTACCATAATTTCCAATGCCATCCAGCTAAATAACGCTAGAACAGGAGATTGACCAAAGACCAGGTGGGTTGAAAAAGCAGGGTCGCTCCGACCTTAAAGATCACCTACCCTCAGTCGGGGGTGATTGTCCATCAGTCAAACCAGCACCCTAAAGCTCCCCATTTTCACCCAGCCCCCAGCAACTGCTCAACACACACGCAACCGCAGCGCACACTTTCCTCGAAGAACCTGCTAATGTATTCTGTGGCAGACTCCCAGCTGCCAAAGGCACAAATACATGCTGTGGATTCGGCCTTCCCAAGGAGGCGAGAGGCACGCGTGAAACTTTAATTCCAGATTTAAATCCCAGGCTTATATCCATTCACTCCTCTCTTGAGATGGGTTTAAGCCGAGGTTCAGTGCTAAGCAGGGGAGGCCTCGCGCTCATGGGTGGACCATAAGCTGGAGAGTCACCCCCCCACACACACACACTTCCCTGGGCTCACAGGCTCCCCTCTCCCTGGCGGTCACTGAGGTAAATTTACCGGCATCAGGAGAGCCTTGGGCATCAACATGGAGTAATCGAAATCTATCCACCCAACCCCTTTCGTTCAGAATAAGGCATGGTGTGCGAACCCCTTTGGTTTGGTTCTCGCCCCACCCTGCCCCAAATCTACCTAAGACACGCACTGACCTTCATTCTTCCTGGATTTCACCAAAGTGACTTTAGTAGGCTTTGTGGGTTGACTGGACGCCACCGACCTCCTGTCTGACCTGGGCGATAAGCTCCTCTCCCTGCTTGCGCTTCGATCCCTCACCCAGCTTTTCTCATGCCTTCTGCTTGCACTGGTAGCACCGCGAGAACTTCTGGGGTCATGCATGTCCTCTTCATAGCTGTCCTCATCATTTCCAGAGGCTGGGTCAGGATCTGTCCGGCTTATTGGAATCTGAACTTTCTTCATTCTTCGGATAGTCTGGAACACATGTTAATGCATTAGTTTCCGATAAAATGCCAAACTACACTGTGTATCTAAAACACGTAATATTCAGACAGAGTGATATACTGCTGAGCTCAAGTTATCTGTTTCCTTTTCCTTTTCCTTCCCTTCCACACAGACAGTACCCCTTGCCCCGGCGGTCGCTGACATTTCACATCTGTGTTACTGGTGGAACATCCGGAAGAAAAAGAGTGTTGATCTCATTTTGCCCTTTCTGCCCCCAAAGTGGCTTGCAGGGCATTAAAAAAATGCAATGGTGAATTTTTAAAAACGAAAACAAGAGCACTGGAAAATGCTCGAGATAGGAAGTATCGGGAAAGAAACAGCATGTGCCATGTGGCAAAAGTTTGTAGCTCAAAGTTTGTAGCTTTGAGTTTGTAGCTCAAAGTTGTTTTAGTTTTGTATGGTTGTACTATTGTTGGAAACTGCCCAGAGAGTTTTGGCTATGGGCAGTATAAAAATATAATAACAATAATAACAATAATAACAATAATAATAACAATAATAATAATAATGGCAGATGGGAAATGGCTTTGCTTCATCGCGAAAGGTCAACCAAGTAAGAGTTTATAGCGAATTTTCTAGGGAAGAGGGCATTACAAGGCTGAGTCAATATTTCCTGGATTTGAAGTAATACATTTGTTCTCCCACACAGAAATGTCTCGGGACAGAGTGATTCCTTAAAAAACAAAAAAGCTGATTCCTCTGCAAGTCTTTCCTCGTTGCAAAGCATGGTGGGACCGCTGGGAGAGCAGCACCATTTTACTCTCTCTATTTGCCTCCAGGGCGAGGCAGAACTCATACTTTCACCTGTGCAAGAGAAGATTACAGAAGTGAAGAAGGCGCTAGTGATACATAAAGAGCAAAAAATATATACATGTAAATGTAAGCCACTGATGAGCAAGGTATGACCAGGATTGTGACGGTCTTTTTCTTGGTGCAGAGGGTTCCGAATCATACATGCTTTACAAAATCTTCCACGATTTCCAACAAGTCGGAAAGGAAAGACACACGACTCACCATCAAGGGTCCCAGCAACCCTTGTGCATCCATTGCAGAGAATAAAGAGGGACACTGACTTGTCAGCTCTCACTGCTCAGAGGGGTTAAATGACAAGCTGCGGCCTCCCACACCTTTTTCTCAACAAACAACGAGGGGCCATCTTTGCAAACTGGGCTTTTCAGTTCTGCAGCAGCAGCCAAGTGGGCCTGCGCTCTGTAAAAGGGTACGAGTTTGGCGAGTCCAATCGAAGCACACGCACTCCATATACCAATTCTGCAGCAACTACGGTTAATCAGCAACAGACGCCCTTCTCCGGGAACCCTCTGTGAACGATATTAGGAGGGTGAGTACCCGGAGGAGGGCCTTCTCTGTGGTGGCGCCCCATCTATGGAATGCGCTCCCCAGAGAGGTCCGCCTGGCGCCGTCGTTATTTGTTTTTCGGCGCCAGGCTAAGACCTTTTTATTTAAAACTTATTTTAAGTGTTAATTTATTATGGAGGATTCTTAAAATTTTTAGCCAAGATGCACCAGGTTTTAATATTTTTAGTGTATAAATTTTTCTATGATTTTGTTTGTTTTTGTTGTGAGCCGCCCCGAGGCTTTGTTGCGATGGGGGCGGCATAGAAATGTTTTAAATAAATAAATAAAATAATTCCAGACAGACACTAATGGATACAGGCAAGCCAATCCTGGTTAGTGGCTGTCAAGGGCTGCTGAAACAAGGAAAACCTATGCTGAACACGTTACAGACACTGACACACGAACGCCAATTGCATTTATTCAGATGGTGCTGCTGCTACGGAAGCTTCTTGACAGAGAATAAGACAACGGGTCTCTGCCCCGAGGGGCTTACAGAGGGGAAGCAACAGGAAGAGGAAAGCAAGACAGGTGAAGAGGGATGGAACGAACACGCCAGCTACATGCGTTGGTTACAGGAGGATGCAAGAACTGGGGCTGAGGTTATGCCTTCACAGTAAGGATGGATTTTCAAGAAAGCGTTGAAGGAAGTAAAAAGGTGGCACTGCAGAGGTATTCTAGGAAAAACAGGATCTCTTTTATTATTTTTCCTCTAAAGGTCTCGCCTAAAAGGATTACGTGGCTTGAAAACCTGCCTCTAGCAATAGATGGTCTAAGTTTAGGAAACATTGTACTGGTGCCACTGTTTTCAACAGAACAATGGCAGTTTCACTATGTCCCATGACCTGAAAATAGGATTCTTGAATACTTCTGAAGCCCCAAAACAAGCATTCTTAATTCTACAACAGGATAATTCATTACAACTCTTAGAAATCCACCATGAGCAATCATGTACAAACTTTACTGGGATGTCCATCCAAGTATCTCCATGTAAACAAACATATGGATATGCCGTTCTCTATTCGGGTGACAGCTCAAATATTATCACATTTGCTAAACCGGTCTTAAAAAGTAGCACAAGAGATGGAAGACCTGTTTTTTTTTCTTCTTAAAGGGTAAGGGAAGAGAGCTTTGCCCTGCCTTGGCCAAACGAGAGAAAAGGAACATCTGAGAAAAGTGCAAAGCATACGAAGGATACCGCATGATCGATAATGTATTACAGTGCTTGACAAGACGACCGCTGAAGCAGAAGCAACTCAGGGTGCATCCGATGCAGGTTATAGGCCTTTTCCCCTGCTTTAACATGTCCAGGATTCCCCCTTCTGCCTCCCAGGAAATGCTGTGTCAGCAGGAACAAGATGCAGAGCCCTGTTGTGTATTAGGGAAGCCGACAAAAAGCAGCAGCTTAATGTAGGCTGGTGGGTCACGCAGTCTTCTTTCAGAAGGACTGAGAAAATGCACACAGTTTCTACGATTAGCCACAATTCTGAGGCGTCTAACATTTTATGGGGTGCTCTTTACACCAGCACAGGGCTAAGAAGCCGGTGTTTTGACTGCAGCCCTTTGGACAGGTAGGGTTCAAAGTACTGAATGCTCCAAAAAGGGAAGAGAGACCCTTACTTGGGAAATTAGGGATAAAGGCTTCAGACTGGACAGTTCCTGCTGGGTGGTTAGGTCAATTTTCTACATGCAGGGTTGGGTCTGTGTGTATGTGGGGTTCTTTTTAAGTGGGAGAGCGTTCCACCACGCACCTGAAATAGCATGGTCCAGGCACAATTGTACCATCTCACTGAGAGCAAAAGCAGAGTTGTGAAACATGGTGTTCACCAGCTGCAAGCAGTTTACTGCCATTTTCTGTCCTCAAAGGAGCAGCAAGTGCCCGGGTTCAGACACCCCCACTCAAGGGCTGAGCGTGGGCTGAGTGTGGGTTGTTGCGGGAATGAGCACTGTTGTATTATCTGAACCCAGCCACATCAACCAATGATGGTTGAACAACACATGAAGAGAGCCACAATTTGTGGTTGGATTGCCCACTGTGGGTTGTTTGCGGTTAACAGACATGACTGGTTAATGCAGATGTGTTGGGACCACATGCTAACCCATATCTAAACAAGAAGCCATGGTAAAATGGCAACCGATTATGCCTCACGCTCTTAAGACACATTCAACCCTTAAGTGTGGGTTGCCAGGTTTGAAAGCAGCCAGCGAAATCTTGCCTGCATGAAGAGACAGTTCCTACTACTTGAACTGTGGGAGTAACCACTTGTTCCATTCTCCTGGTACAAAGAGTATTTGGTGTGCACCTGAATAGGAGTGACTCCTTATCCTCTTCCCCTTCAGCCTGAAAGACCAGCAGCTCAGCTGGAAGAACCACACTGCTATCTCTGGCCGGGAGCGAGAGATGGCCGGAAGTAGAGGACGGGCTGCGAAGCCATCGTGGCCGCCCCATAAGCTTAAATGTTTGGGGAGAGCTGTGGGCATTTTGTTTATTAAAGGGGTACAGGAGAGGTAACAGCCCAGCTGTTCTGAGCCCAGCTGTCTTGGGTCTTTCTGACAAATAGACTGGATGAATAAATTGCGGCCAACAAGCGATGATTGCAGGCAAAACCAGAGAGGGAAAATGACTGTAGAGGCGGTGAAAGCTTACCTCCGCGGTGATTCATGGGCGCCCTCTACATCCAGGGAGCCTCCTCCTGCCTACAAACACATCATCCACTGACTACCACAGAGCACCTCCCTCTGCTAATGATACGGTGTGGGTTCAAAGCCTGGGAAGACTTGTCTTGAAGCAAGCCATGGCAAGCAGCACAGAAATGGCTAACGAGACCGTAATTACTGACTCAGTTCAGCCAACCCAGTTGCTTCTATAAAGCCCAAATTGGGCAGATTAGGGCTACTACTAACCAGAATTGCCAGCAAGCGACGGGGTGCAAACCCACTTCAAAGAAGGTTTTAAATTACAGTTCTGAACTGCCGGGAGCTGGCTGGCAGATTTAGAGACTGTAGCGAACCAGAAGGGGGGAAAGGAGACAACTGGTGCATGTGATCAGGAGAGGGAATGCATTACCCATGACACGTCCCTGATCCTCCAAAGTCCCCACCTTGGACTCCTGCAAGGGGTCCTACAAGTTAGACCCTAGCCTTAACCCTGGCCATGCTGCTGGGAGCTGAAGACCAAGCCTCCCGGAAGGCACCAAGCAGGGGAACACTGTGCTAAAGCATCTGCTGGAGGATCAACGACTCAGTAGCTCAACTGAGCAACTACTTATGAAACATGCTTTGAAAAGAAGTACTCTACTTTTTAAAATTTCAATTGCGGTGCTGGAGGAGACTCCTGCGAGTCCCCTGGACCACAAGGCGATCCAACCGGTCTTTCCTAGAGGAGATCAGCCCTGACTGCTCTTTACAAGGCCAGATCCTGAAGTTGAAGCTCAAATACTTTGGCCACCTAATGAGAAGGAAGGGTTCCCTGGAGAAGAGCCTGATGCTGGGAACGATTGACGGCAAAAGGAGAAGGGGACGGCAGAGGATGAGGTGGCTGGATGGAGTCACGGGAGCAGTCGGTGTGAGCTTAAGTGGACTCTGGGGGACGGTGGAGGACAGGAAGGCCTGGAGGAGTGTTGTCCATGGGGTCGCAATGGGTCGGACACGACTTTGCGACTAACAACAGCAACAACTTTTTAAAAAATGCATTTTGAAACCAAGCCAGGAAGCGGAAGTTTCTTCGTTTGGCAGTACTCATGCCATCTTTGACAATACCAATCTGAATTTCCACACAGTGGGGAAACTAGGTAACAGGGCAAATAAGGCAGCGAGCCAAAGGCTATGCTCTGTCTACCAGGACTGGGGGAAATCCCTCTCCCAGTTGAGAGAGAACAGCAGACATGCCTCCAGGCCTCGGGAGAGAAAGCGTGCCCTTCCCATCAAAAACATCCTGCAAACTCTATACAAGGAAGGCGTTTGAAGCACCAGCGAAAAGGAACAAACATTTGAAAGAAACATGATGGCCAACGCATCCTAGAAACAGAAATGCTTGTGCGTTTGGGTTGTGTGCGTGCAACAGCAAATGGCGACTGCTTACCACAAGGTAGACTGCGATCTACTGCTGATGACAAGATGTTTTGCAGACTTAAGACAAGGCTGGTGATGTGCTGAGGATGCCAGAAGCCGCAGCTGCGAGGACCCTAATTGCACAGCACGGAGGCACATGGCACTTGCCGGGCGTGGAGAAAAAGCTGCTTGTTGGGGCATGTGGGGAAGTTCACGCCACTTGAGGCATGATTCTGCCTCGACCCAACGAGAGCCTAGGAAGTACAATCACTATTCCCAAGCCGGGCTGCTTAGAGCTAAGGGACTGGTCCTCCGGACGGCTTGACATCTTCCGAAAAAGCGGAGACTTAGCGGAAGACACTAGATGGCTGGCGGGCTGAGAGACCTGGACAGCTGCTCTAGAAGAAGCAGGAGTGCCAGACAGGTGATGGCCGTCACCTGCCTGAAACCCCGCTCAGGTGTCTGCAGCCACAAGAGACATGACTGAATCAGGTGGCCAAACTGTTGGCTTGGGGAAAGGCAGCCTTGTGTGTTCTGTACACGCAGCAGAAACCATCGCCATTCTCTCCCCAGGCCACATTCAGCAAAACCCAGCACACAAACCGACCATTGTGCTTTAACCAAGGCCATACAAAGAAAGGAAAGCGAAGCGAGGGGAACAAAAGGTTTCCTTCTAACATGGCCTGCGATAAGAGCACAATCTCCCGGAAATAAAGGGGTTGACTTTTTCAGCGTCTTCTCGTACGATCCGGACCCTGATTCTCTGTCAGAGCACTTCCACGTGCATGGTCAGAATTCTGCATAATTCCCGGGAATCCGAGCCAAAGTCTGCCTTTGTTAGCAAGCAAACACGGTGGGATGCCAACGCGAGAGTCCCGACAGCATGGCCCACGGGACCGCTTTCTCGGGGATCAGAGGCTCGCGCTGGCTCTCCCCTCTGCCAAAGAGCCAGGCCTCTGAGGCTCATGCGGACACACATTTGAGACCAGCGTGGCTCAGCCTGGCTTTCAGTCGAACTACCCTGCAATGCCACCTTTGCCGTTCGAGCTCCCCTGCTCGAACCCACACCCCTTCAGCTCTCTGCTTCATCTCTGTGAGAACTGAAAGGCAGATTACATCAGCGCACCTGTGCCAAAAACTTAGACACCAGAGCTGTGTCTCTGCGCGAGCACACATTTTGTGCCTGTACTATTCCCAGGAAGCTTAAATTTTGTGATGCCCTTTACAGAAGTCCGAGTTCTTTATTTGAGGGAGCTGGTCCCACCATTTCAGGACGTGAGGCAGCTTCCAAAAAGTGTTTCAACAAAGTGGCTTCTAATCCAAGCCAACAGACGCTCTGGCTTGGCACCTCCTGGAAAGCAGAAGGGATGGAGAGTTCCGGTCTCTAACTGCTCCCATAAGCATCTTTCCCTGAGACCAGGCAAACAGATTTCGAGAAGGGCCCGGGCAGCTTCTCCCAAGAACATCTCCCTCTTCCCCCAGACAAAGCCTCCAGGGTCTGAGAAGGACCGGGAGCACGCTTGCATGCCCAATCCTGAGGCTGCATTTGCAGCAGGCAAAGCAGGAATGCCAAACCTCCGGACCACACTCCAAATTCAGTCTGCCTCAGTGCCCCAGATGGCTACACCCCCTTTGCCGCACCCTAACCCTCTGCCCCAACCACCAATTATTCAGTTCTTGGGGGTGGGGGTGCAGAAATTAAATTCATAAATAAATAGTCTGGTTTCCTGGCTTTGCACAGTTCCCCCCACCATAAACACTTTTCTTTGCAAAGCTAAATTACCAGCAGTAGAAACGTTAAGCTAAAGCAAACCTTCCGCCTCTGGGCCTGCCCAGCACTGAGATGTGGGACTTGACCTAGGAGCTGTGCCCACTCATTTAAAGATGGTGGGATGCAAACTTGAGCAGGATGATGGGATGGGACCAGAATCCGCAGCCCAAACGCCAAACCCCATGGACCCAGAGAGAAAGCAGGTAGCTCTTGAGAACGGGGCAGCGTTGCGTTCTGGGGGAAATTTTAGTGAGCCTGCTAAATGTGGAGGGAGGGTGATCTACTGCCATCGATCTGAGACTCTGTCGGTTCAAGGTGGCCTGCTCATTTCCGTTTGGAAGGCAGGAGAGCATTCAGCTGGAATCAGCTTGGCATTGTGAAGCCACATTTCCCTCATGGTCGCCATTTTGGCTGCCATTTTAACTCAGCTTGTTTCTTTGCTTGTTGACCTCTCTTCGTTTGCACTGTACAGCCACCCTGGCTGGTCAGCTCTGTCCTAAAGAAGGCTTGTGATTAGAAAGCCTGCTTGGAAGGAGGGAGAGAAGAAAGGCCAGGGTGCCCCCGAGGGACTCAGAAAGGGAGGCTGCCCCTTGGACTGAATCAGGACCCCTGGAGTAACGGACTAATACTCAGCAATCCTTACTGGCTGTTGCAGATGATGGGCAGGTCTCCCCTCTGAAGAGTGAGCTCAAGCCACTTTGTTCCCTGCTGCTCCTGATTAAGCTGGAAGTACCAACCCAGAACAGGGAAAAGGTCATCATTCTAATCGGAAGGCCCTTCTGGCAAGGAAGCAGGGCCAAGCACATTCCCTGGTTCCAGTGACCGCACTCCAGCCAGTAGGAATCACCCGTCTTCTTGAATTTGTTCTCCGAAAGAAAAGCTCAGCTATTCCAGCACTTAGCTGCCATTTTGGAGCAAAAAGTTATGCAAAGAAGCCTGCGTCTTCATATGATAAATGCATAAATCTGGTATATAAAGACTTCTCTGGAAGGAGTTGACCTTGGCACACAGTTCTAGGGTTAGGGGAAAAAGGGATTCACTTACTATTTTGGCATTTTTCCCGCTTTTCCTCAGCTGCTGAACAGCAAAAGCATGTTCCACGTTATCCATCGAAACGCCATTAACCATTGCAACGCGGTCATTCTCCCTGGAATGGAAGGGCAGTGGGGAAGGAATGCAAGATGTAAATAAACAGTGGTGATGCAGTGGAAAGAAAAAGCTTGGCAGGAAAAGCTTAGGCTTGCTACATCGCTACACATCTGTCCCAGTGGACAGAAGCTGTTTGTAACATTTTGAGATACTCCCCATGGACCTGGGATCATTTGACACTCCTTGGTTCTGTCAAAAAAAAAAAAAAAAAGAACACTCCTGACTTTGTCATTGAAGGAGAAAGAAGATACTGATTTCTATCAAACCTGGGACTCTTTTTATTATTGGCTAGAGAAACAGGACTTCATATAGATTTAAATATGTTTTTAAGTTATCATAAACAGAAAAATATGTGGGGGCTGACCCAGCAGGTCCGATGTTTCTGATGACTGATGCTGTTTTTAGTTTTCTTTTGTTTTAGGGTTAACTTTTGAATAAAACTTATTATAATAATAAAAAAAGAACACTCCCGCTGCCACCAGCCCCAAGACGAAGGGCAGGCGCTGACTTCCTTCTCCCCATCGCTTTCGGGAGCTCCTCTCTGGGGGGTGCCAGCCATGAAGGTGGGACATATCAGCTGCCGTGCCCACAAACGGGGTGGCTGTCAGACGGAGAACTTTCTCTGCATCTATGGAACACTCTTCCCGCCTTGGGTCTTCCCCGTCTACATTCAGATGCTGTCTACTGTTAAGACTTGCTTTTAAGCCCACACACAATCCTTAAACTACAAAGATTCTTAAAGCACCTTAAAGAATGACAGCTTCAACGGGCTTGCGAAGGTTTAAGACCCCGGGCTGCTTTTGCAACAGTCCTGACTACCCACTGGAAATCTTCACGTTGCTACTTTGCTCTTTACAGCTGGCTCCTCGAAGTTTTTAATAGCTTTTAATGTTTAATATTGTGTTTTTACTTTTATTTTATTGCTCTTTTGTCGTGTCATGGCAAACCACCCGAGATCATTACCAGTTGGGCTGTGCACCGATCAAATCAAAGAAGCAATAGTTAATGGGCTAGAAATGAGCAGGATGTAAGGAGGTGTCCTGCCCCTCCACAGCCTTGGCCTTCTCTTGCACAAATCGTCAGCCCGGAGTATTTGCAGCAACACTTAACCAAGGTTAATGAGAAACCAGTGCTTTATAACCATGGCTTCGAAAACCACGGCTAGGAACACGTTGTGGTTAAAACTCACACCAGTGCCAGCCTTGACAAACCAGAGTTTAGGGAAGGCACAGAAGGAGCGACTGCAAGGGGAAGGGATGGCAGGAAAACACACCCTGGCAGCCTGCTCCTTCAACAGTATTTAAAGAAGGCAAAGTAACATGCCTATGGAAATACCAAAAAGAACAGTGGGTGAGAGATAACATGAATACGCTGAACCACCAGTGATTCGGTGTGGCGCAGTGGTTTAAGAGCATAGGACTGGGACTCAGGCGATCCGGGTTTGAGTCCCCGCTCAGTCATGGAACCAACTAGGTGACTTTGGGCCATCCACAGACTCTCAGCCCAGCCTACCTCACCGGGTTGTTGTTGTGGAGCCAAGACTGAGCAGCAGTGAAAAAGGCAGGAGACAAATCCAACACATCGCTAAAATACTTACTGTAATAGACCTTCCGCCGGGCCTCCTTTCAGCACATCTGAAATGACTATCGACGTTTCGCCGCTCTGGAAGTGGGGATTATCCCTTCCACCAGATATTGCAATGCCAAACCCAAATCCAGGAGCCTAGGGCAGAGCAGAAAGATGTTCCGATCACAGGCGGCAGGTGGCCTGGACATTAGATATGTGAAGATGGCGAGCCCAGCATCTGAAGATCGCCATTTTGAGCCAAGAAACAACTCTACCCTGCCAGACTGTCCTGGGAGTTCTGTTCACATGGAGCGCTTGTGGCTAGACAAACGTCGTGGAAGAGGCAGACTGGATTCCAAGTGGCAGGTTCCGGGCAGATGGGACTGAAGGATTAGGAGGGGCCCGTAGCTCAGAGACAGTGTCCCTAAGCCCCGGGACCAGCACCTCCCCAGCATGTCCAGTTAAGAGACTCTGGTGGCAGGTGGTGGCCAGGGGCTCTGTGACTCAGACCCTGGAATGCTGCTGCCAGTCAGAGCTGGCAACAGCAGCCTAGATCGGGCAGCTTCCCATGTTCCTACTGATCAGCTCGGTCCCTCCCACTCCCGTTGACGGCTGCTCGGCCACATGGAAACCAGTGCTGGAGAGGGAAGGGAGAAGTCACCTGCGACCCACCCGAGAGGATCAGGGCTGCATTTGGTTCATGCGGAACAACAGGGCATGCCAGCGACGCCGGCAGCGTCACCCGAGACTGGCGGTTAAGTCAGCGGGATCTCTCAACTTCTAAGAGCAGAAGCACGAAAGGCAAAGATATCCAGTGGAGGATCACTTTGATCCTATCAAGAAGAGAGGCTGAAGTCACAGGAAGCCTGCCATATCCACTAACAGGATTAAGTGGCTTGGAAATATTCATAGCTTTTGCTGTGCAGAATGAAGTCTGACACAGGGACAGCCATGTTAATCCTTCGCTCATATGCTGAGCTTCATCGACTCTGAAGACCCAAGTAATAAAAATGCAAAATATGGGCAGGATGCACCCAAGGTGCTCGGCACAAGTACCCCGAAGTGCAAGGCAGGAAGCAAAAGCACTTCAACTGAGCATAAGTAAGGGGCTTGAATGTATTTGAGCTTTAACAAAGGGACCAGAGAAAAAACCCTTCTCCCAAAGGGCCATGTCAGGAGAAGGGGCAGAAAAGCATCCCTCTTCCCATCCTCGGTTTTCCATGTTGAGGGATCCCAGGTCCAAGTCAGCTCCATCCTCTGGAACACAAGTCACTCTCAGATTCAGTGAGCAACACATTCCTGCCATTGGCAGGATTATTATTATTATTATTATTATTATTATTATTATAACATTGGATTGGACCTTCCACTCTGGTGCTGGCATGTTCTGGTCTTAGCAGGAGGAAAGCAGAAGAACTGTGAACTCCGTCAAAAACTACCAGCTTCAAATGGCCATCAAAATGCCATTTTTGTGCAGCTGAAAAGAACTAGAAGGAGCTTTCCTGCTATCGACCAGAGCTGCAGAGAAAAGTAGTATTTCTGTGCCTTTCCTTTTTTAAAGAAGAACCTGGTATTTGTCCTTTGAAGAAGCCTTTTGGCAAAGCAACAGAAAGATCTCAACCTTGAAAGTAAAAAAAGAAAACTTCTGGTATGCTTAATGAAGGAACTTGGACAAAAGGCTGCCAAAAACAGAACCCCCAACAAAGAAGAAATTTTTATGGATAGTTTCTAAACCTCTCTCAAACTAGCAACTTCCAGGACTATAATTCTCATCATCCATCCCCAATCCATGTGGCGAATGGGTAAGGTGTCTGGGGAGGTGAGCGCTCCAGCCCAACACACTTATGAGGCATCAGGCCAGGGAAGGCCGATCTAACAGGGAGGAGAAGAGGGATGCAGCGGAAGCACGGGGAGGTCCAGCAGGAGTCGGGAGCCTCCAGCAAATCCAAACGGACATGCTTCTTGACGCCAGTATTCCCAAAACTCCTCAAGAACCCTGAATTTCCAAGATGCGACGCAAACCCAAGAGGCCAAGGGAGATCCTGGCCTGCTTTAAGGCTCGTTGGGGCTTACTCTGGGCCAGATATGCATAAGATGGCAGACCAGTCCAAAAGTCAAGCACACTGACTGCTGCCACCCTGTACGATAAAAAGCAGAACTAACGGTTGAGAAAGGACAAACCTGTACGCAACTTACAGAAAAACTACACACACCTACACCAACAGGTTTGCGTTTGATCAGATTGGGGTCAGAAGCTGGGAGGAGGCCAATGAGGAGATAAATGGTGCCAGAACGTCTTTTACAAAGTTGGAATTCCACGCTTGTTTTACCACTGTGTGCAACAACATGGTACCCCAAGATTGAGGAATCTACTCTTTTTTATAAAATTATTATTATTTATTTTTTTCAATATCTTAACCGTTTGTTGGCTTTATGTTTGATTTTATCATTGTTTATCGGATGCTGTGTGTTGTCTGTTGTGTGTTGTATGTGGTTGCTTTATGTTTTGTAAGCTGCCCATAGACTTTCGTATTGGGTGGCATATAAAAACTTTAAATCAAAATAAAATAATAATAATAATTAAAATAAAGTCATTAACCTTTTTCCAGAGATTTATGCCCACCTTTCAAATGAATCTTCCAGGTAACTTATACAACCAAAAGGTAAACAACATGACCAAAATAGCACGGAATATATTTTAAATGTAAAATAGAAGAACAGCATAGCAAGTTTGTGTCCCTGCACCAAAATTCGCATCTTTCCCCGAGGAGAGCCTCCCACGAGGATGGGGTGATGATGGAGGAAGCCCCTGCCCCCAGCACCACTGCAAGGGACCTCAGATAAAGAGGTGGGGGGCAAGCAGTCCTTTGGGTCCCTTGTCCCGAGGCACAGTGGACTTTCCAGCACCTGCAGGCTGCAAAGAGGAGCATGCAGACTAAACTGCAGATAGTTCTTACTAACCGGTCGCGTTGCAACAGGTTTGTGCAATGAGGAGCAATGCTTAAAGTAAATGAGCGAATCTACTTGACATTTTTGAGGGCTTTGGACAAGCAAAGCCACAACCAGACTTTCCCACCCACCACGCCCACGTCACTAAAACGCCTGACTCAGTTGAGAAAGGCTGTGTCAGCCAGAGAAACAGGTATTTCTTGTGCTCTCCTGCCCGAGGTCAATTCTCTCAAAGTGCTGGATAACAAAACTTCAAGAACAGGTCAACCTGTCGTGCCTTTCCGAGGCCAGTGGGGAAGCAAAAGATCTGTGCCCAAGCTGGCACGGAGGGCCTCGACTTGCATACGAACAACCACATGGCAAGCCAAAGAGGGTGTTCCAGGACTTTTGCACACACAGATACACGGAGCAGAGCAGCAGGTGTGTGTGCGACGGACATGTGGGGGTTGTATTACTTCTGGATAGGAAGCACAATGTTTGAGGGTGCCCTGGTCTTAAATGAGGGGAAAAAATATACATCGGCTGCAGTGGAAGCTCTGGAGTTCCTAAAAAACATGAGGTCTGCATAGGGAAGTTAAAAGGAAGGGCTCGCTTGGGCAGGGAGGTGGTGCATTTCTCTGATGGAACTGCAAAGACGACAACCACAAGGCTCCATCCTGGCTGGATGCTGAGAGAACGGTGCGATGAAAAGCATTTTAAATGGGGAAATAGCATCTATTTCTGCTCTGGCCTCTAAAATGGATGGTGGGAAGGACCCCCGAAATCAGAGGGACTTTTTAGTTACGCCTAACTTAAGTGCCACTGATTTCAACAGGTTTAACACTTAGTTATAAACAAATCTGGATCAAACTCAGAGACAATCCCTGTCGCATCTTCATCTCTGGGTGCCTCTCATTTTGCCAATTTAAATGCTTCTTAGTTCAGAAGTGTTTTTCGGTCCATGGACTGAAAAAAAGGAACGGATCTATCAAGTCAAGTCAGAAGATTTCTTCAACTGGGTGACAATCAGCATAGATACAAAACTCTTGGCTGTATACTTAATAGCTGGTGTACAACTGCTAAGAAATTGCTTCAGCTTATAAGAACCTAAGACAAGCCTTGCTGGATCAGAGCCAAGGACCATCCAGCCCAGCCCCCCATACACACGATGGCAAACCAGCGGCCCAGGATCCCTCCAGCAGGAGGGGTGCAAGACGCCCTCCTGCCCAGCTCCTCAGCCACGGGTGCGTGCAGGCAGGCCAGGCCGCCTCTGGTGGAGGAGGAAGCCATGGCCAGCAAGGCTAGTAGCCACGGACAGCCTCCTCCGCCAAGAATCCGTCCCGTCCCCCTTTAAAGCCACCCAGATTGGCGGCATCACCGCTTCCCACGGTGGTGTCTTCCATGCTTCAACTATACGTTGTGTGGAGAAGGACCTCCTCTAAACTTTCTTAAACCTCCCTGCAACAATATCATCATCATGAAGAGGAGGAGGAAATCATATCAGCAACACTATACCACCCATAGCCTACGCTCTCCCCAATCCGCTCAGCTATTACAGGAGAGGAAGAAAACTCCCTCGCTCTCCACCTCCTGCATACCCTGCATTACGGTCAACACCCCCGCCCTGTCTCCCCTCCCTTGCCTTCCTTTCTGAGCTGAACAGTCCCAGCTGCAGCGGCTCCTTGCAGGGAAGCCGCTCCAGCCCCGATCGTTTCTGCGGCATGAATGGCTGCCCGCACAGAAAGGACCTTCCCCACGATGAGGCATCACCAGAACAAGAACGGCTTCTTCAGGGGTCCCCCCCTCCCCCGGGCAGCCTTTAGGAGGCCAACCCATGTGCCTTTTATCCCGCTATCATGCAGAATGAAGGCTAAACCCAGAGGAGCATGAAGACACGGCATTCCGCTGTGCACGAATGCCTTTCTGCATGTTGCGCAGAACTTCCTGTCACGTTTCACAACTGCAAGCAGCACTCTAGGAAAACGAGCGCAGGGACACAAAGGTTGGCCATCGTGCGGGAGCTTTGCGAATGTAGTCATGATGCAAGCTCGTTCGTGACCTTAATGTCAATCTCACAGGAAGGAACTTCCTCAAAAATTAAAATTATTCATTAACAGGGGAACGCCTGTTCCGTTATGAACCAGCCCGATTATTAAGATCTGCAGGGCAAGCCCTCTTGACATCAGCATTACCAGCCCTTCCAGGTTGGCCCAAACTGCCATTTCCGATTTAAAGGAAGATGCATCAAGAGCTTTGCAACGGTGGGAAAACTGCTGCCTTTCTCGAGCTATCACTACATTCCTGGTCAAAGCTTTTAAAAATTATGTCTGCTTCAGCATCTCTTCCTTTTGCTAATCCAATCAGCAAAACAGATGCTTTGTTACCCACAGAACTGGAGCCGTAATCTCGCTTCAACCAAATCCAGTCTTTAAGAAGGCCCAGCCAACTGGTGACAAGAGAAAGATGAAGAAATGTCTCTTGGAGAAAGAAGGCCGGCTCTCCAGCTTCGGAAAGCTCTTTTCCAGTCAGGAATTAGGAGCATAAGCTGCAGTGTGTGACTTTGGAAAGACTCTCATTATGGTTGCACTCTGCCGACCGCAGGGCACCTCTTCATGGCGCCGGGTTGGAGCCACAAATTTGTCGGGCACTTGTATGGCAGGGAGTGGTTAGAGTGGGTGACCTAGCTTGAATTCCATCTTGCTTCTTCAATATCTGGGGATCATGATCCACACAATGGCTTTAGCGGATTCTGTTCAGGTAATACGTTGCTGGACCAAAGTCAAGGATCAAGAAAAGTCATGGAGTCATGGCAGGGCATGTACTTTACACACAGAACACCTGAGGCCCAATCCATTTCGAAACCCCTGCCAGAATGTCACTGCCGGTCAGGGTCAGCAATACATAGCTGGGCAGATCAATGGTCTGATTCAGGCTAAGGCTTCCTGCGTTCCACATGGAACCCAATCTCTCATATATATGCCAAAGATAAAATGTGGGGTTATAGGCTTCGGCAAATGGGGCGGCATAGAAATTTTCTAAATAAATAAATTTTCTAAATAAATAAATTACTGAGTTGCACCACAAGATCGAAGCTGAAGGAATACATTCAGCTCAACCGACTACTGGAGGGGAAGGCTAAGGCAGTGCAAATACTCGGCCATGATGAGCCAATAATTCAGAGCATCTCATGCTCATGGCACAGTGATGCAATTCTGCCAGGCTGTTGCCCAACTGCTCTGAAGTATATGTTGCAGTCGGCTCACCTGAAAGGCACATCAAGTGCAAACCTGCTCGGCGGCACTGTGACCAACACCACGTGCCTCTTTCCTTTCCTACTCCTCGCTTGAGAATAAGAGGCAATGCCAGAAAAACTCACGACAGCACTGCCGCTTTGCTACATGCTGGGGGTGGGGGTGGTATTTTCATGTTCCGCAAAAGTTGGGCAAGCCTCTTTTCTTCCAGCTTGCAGAGAGAAACGTCAACGGATTGGGAAGGGGATGGGTGAGAGGGCAGGGGGGTGAGTGTTCTCCCCCCGATTTCCCATTCCTGGACCAGGGCATGCAATGCCTTCTACTCTCTTTGACACGACCATTTCATTCGGAGGTGCCCAAGTTCACCATATCGACGAGGGCTCCTCTCCCTGAAACATGGTCTTGGTCTAAAGGAATGCCTAAAAGGCAGAATTCGACAGTCGGCATCATTTTGTCCAAGACAGCTTTCGTATTCTGTTTCCGGCGGCCCAGGGAACAAGCCCATGCAAGGGATCGGGACTCTGCCCTCTGATATCCAAGGATGCAACTTAGCCAGCCTTTCGGCTTCCCTTCGTCTCTGCTCATGCACTTTTAGGTAATCACAAAGACCGGAAACTCGATTGGCAATTCTGGAAAACTGGGCCGTATTGTTAATTATCTTTCGCATTCCAGGGGAAAGGGAGGGATGATTTGAGCGAAATGAGAGTCTGCGTGAAAGCGAAAACTCTCAGACCTCAAATGTGCTCAGGTGCCTTCTGCAGATTTCTGACATAAGATCTCTCATACCGAGGCAGGGAGTCTTCTCCGCACTGCCAGGCCGTAACGTACCAGAGAGTTAGATGGCGCAGTTCTCGGCCCTGCCTAGAAAGAACTGGAGCCAAGCAAGGAGAGCTCCACAAAGGTAACATAAACCCAGTATTATTGTCAGAGATCTGTGCTCTGCTGTGTTGCACACATCTTTGGATAGCTGATGTTAACAGCCCCCCGCCGAGCTTACCTCCATGTGGTCAAACAAAGCACACTTATTTATTATTTTAAGATGACACGCTAAGCTCTCTTCAGTAATGGATACTGCTCTAGAAAGGTGGTCAAGCATACGTAAACAAACAAGTATAAATAGTTTATAATCATACCAGTTTCAGACAAAGGAATGCAACAGCTTCCTTTCTTTTTTTCCTTCCGGACATCTGGGTTTTTGCTATTGTTTTCAGAAGCTGACTGTATCCTGCGCAGCAGACGTAAAACTATAATGGCAGAAACTTACCCTGTGAAGGGTCACTGTATGCTGTTCCCATATCGCTGTCTCTTCCATTGTTGTGCTCTGATTAAAAGGGAAGGAAAGAAGAAATTAAAATCACTTTCGTGTTGCTGCGTTTCTCAAGCGTCCCCAAAAGCATACAGTCACTTTCAAGAGGGCTGACAAGGAATTAGGCTGAGGCACACTGTGCATTTTGATGGGTTTTTAATTGAGGTCATCAAGTTGTACACTGGAACTTTGTTTACCTGAACTTGGTGGATAGATACCAACGCTTCCCATTTACTCGTGTTTTCAGCATGAATAAAATCAAGCTACACCATTATTACTGGATAGTATTTTTCTTAAAGTTTTAATTTTAAAAGGGTTATTTGGGGGAAGCTTCCAGCATGGCAAGCCAGATACTTAAGTCCTTTTAAATATACATAACAGCTGACAATCCGTAAAGGAGCTAGTGGAGTATGGGAGTTGGAGTACTGGTCTGGGGACCTGGGTTCTGGTTCCCACTCAGCCATGCAGTTCACTGGGTACCCCTGGGTCAGCTACTGACTCTCTGCCTGACCTACCTTGAAGGTTGTTGTTGTGAGGATAAACTGAAGAGGAGGACTATAGAAGAAGAGAGCATTTATGCTAACAGATGGGTTTTATACGTTTTAATAAACACATAAATAAATAAGCTGCTTTGGGTCCCTTGAAAGGGGAAGAAAAGGCAGAATACAATGCAATGAGATCATAATCCCAAATTTTAACATATTCCTTTGATTTCTACACACCAAAGAGCTGAAGTTCACCAGGTAGTTTGCCACTTATCCAGTTCACCATCCCTCCTCTAGCCACATTCGTCTACAAGCCCAAAATTCCCTTTGCCAAACGCTATCCTGCGTCTCCCAAAGAGGGAAGCACCCGTGGCCCAAAATTCATTCTGGGTTAAAGCACCTTTCAGGCTGCTGCCCAGGACAAGCAGGAGATGTGCTGAGCGAGTGCTGCGGACGAAACCCGGACACATCCGGGGAGATCAACACGCCACATCCACATTCTTCTGGATTATTCCCGTAAGAGTTTAAGCACTGGTGGCATTAGGGCGACTGCTTTAAGAAAGCCCCGTGATCCTCGGCCCCCTTCGCAGGGCAGAGCTGCAGGAGAAGCTCTGGAAAAGCACATGGGCACAAGGGGTTTCCTTGCTTGCTCTCTAGCCTATTCCCCTGCGCTGGGAGCAAATTCAACTAACGTTTGGGAAGGGTGAAAGCCCGCAAAGTGGCAAAGGGCAATTCAAACTGCCCCCAATACACCACAGAGAGTGCATGAAACTCACAAGCAAACGGTGAGCCATGGGACCAAGTTCTCTTCATTGCAGAGACTAGCACAAATAAGCAACCTCACACCAGAAATTACTTCCTTGCAATTTAAGTGTCGGGGGTTTTTCCCCCCCACTGATGGCGGGGGTGGCAGGGGGCGAGCAATGTGCAAAGAAATGTTCTTTGGTGCCTGCTTTGGATTACAGCATGTGAAATTCTGTAGCATATCGGAAGGTCGCATTTAACTGACTCTGCACTTCAGCGTACACTAATCTCCTCTCACGTGAATGCCAGCGCTGCAGACCAAATGGGGTTTTCTATGTCAGACAATAAGGTGAAAAGGCACTGGGGGAAACACGTTTTAAACATCGAATTTTAAACGGGGAGGAGAGGAAGGCTACTGCGTCAAAATGAGAACTCGGGTTAAGAGGCGCTGTCTTCAGGAGAGACCAAATGCCCATGAAACACTAACAGGGATTGAGCAAAATGGGCAAGAAAAAGCAGGCAGAAGGAACCAACTTCCAATCCCTGGATTTCCAGTCTGGCACCTTGTTCAAGCGTCGCCTCCACCCTGCAAACGTCCATTTACAAACAGGAATGAGAGCTGAGTCAGTCCATCACAATCCTTTGTTAAATCTAAGCAAGAAGAGTAAATCCTTAAAGAGAGCAAATAGGCAGAATAATGGGATATATTGACTTAACAGTGAAGGAACGTTCTATGCCCAACTTACTATAGGCCGCAGCTCAAAAACGTCTTATTCTGTAGCAATATTTTTTTGACTAAGTACAGAGGTTTTCCCAGAAAAGACAGAGGAAGTTGACCTGCTAAAAGCGGAAGATGCTGGTCTTCAGCTTATTTGAGGAGCTTGTGTTTCTTTCAAAGGTTCTTTGTAAGAACACCTGAATGTTCTGAAGAATATCGAGACCTTGGCAGCAGATGGCATACACACATTTTAAATAAATAAATAAATAAAAATAAATAAGTAAGTGTATCTAAAGCATTTCTTGGGAGAATTGAAAATTCTACCTGGCATTAAGGAATTTAATTCAGGAAGTCAGGAACACTGGATTTTTCACCTCCTAGCTCCAATGTAGCTAATAGCATAACTCAACATCCAAATACATCTTAGCATTTAATCCTGAGTACATACAAAAGGTTTTGAAGATAAATTAGGAAAGAAAGGCAGCTCCTGCTAGCCTTTCCTTCAGAATGACTGAGGATGGTTTGCTTTATCTCCATCTTTGGATGCCCTCATTCTGCCAGTTTAAAAACTTTAGCCTTGGCAAAAACAAGTCCCTATGTATAATGCTTACCCAATTCAGCATTTACACAACAACAAAACAACTGACTTCAGTTATCCCAAATCTGTCTGGACACAGCCATTAATTGATGCTCCTGTTTTGTTGAAAAGATCCTCTTAGAACTTCAGGTTTGTTTCGCTGGGACAACCTTGGAAGTCACAGAGGGGAAGAAACAGTTCTAACTGCCTTGCAAAGTAGTTAAAAACTCTGTCAACAAACCACATTCTGTTCTTATCGGACTGTGGGAACACAGCCCAACCAGTTACATAATGATTTTTAAATGCACTCTTGCTGTTTTGGTACTCTGTTTAAATACCTACAGGGGGATGGGCAACACAGCAACCATTTATGGACAGAGAAAGAAGGATGTACCTAATTTTTATTTTAAGTGCCAATACCATGCTTCAAGGCACTATTTTGCACTTGTTCCTAGCACCATAAGCCAGTTCCAGAGGACTGGTCTGCACAATTGAAACAGTTCATCCGGCTGGGTGGGATCTGCATATTCAATATCCTAGCTTGGTAGGAATAACCTCAAAATGCCTTCTTACCGGACTCAAGCCAGTGAGAGACAAAAGTAATTAGTTATCGTTCAAATGTTCTTCTCCATGCCAATCTCACGTCTTCCACATACCTCCTGAAGGAAATTTTAAGATTGACTGATTGGGTTTTTGTTTTTTTGTTTTTTTAATAAGCTTGCTTCTTCTAAATCGGAAGAGAGGACAGAGTCAGAGGAGGAAGGAAGTCTCAGCTCAAATGAAGACCACCAAATTCTGGAATGCAGGGTGCTGGCATGCCACGCTCCTCGGTAAACTAGAGACACTTAAGATGAAGGCAGGAAAAGAGACAGGGATCTGTTCTCGGAGACAGATTTTCCATCTCCACTGTGCCTCTTGGGGCACACAGGAGCTAGCATGGCTGCGAAACAGCACGCCAAGGATGTCAGCAAAAGAGCCGATAGGAAACTGATGTGTCTTTGGCTTGGAAAGGCGAACAAACATTTTATTTACGCAGCTTGCGCAGTGCCTACTTTGCATCCTGGCGAACATGCACAGTTTCATGGGCACAGCCTCTTTCTGAACCCCTGCCAGAGCTGAGCATCCATGACGATTCCGCCGTGCTGTGAAAAACGGGGGAAAGGGTGGCTCTCTTTTCCAACTCCTCCCCTTAACGGACAAATCACCAAGAGAGGCTATTTTTTCCCCACCCACTCACTCAAGTTCGGGTGCTTTTTCCACCCCTAGGGCTTGTACTGTGTTCTTCTGAAGGGCAAAAAAATAATTGCAGGATCCCGCCTTGATTTTTCGTCGTACAGCGCAAGGGCTCTGCAGTGCTACTCCTGTTTAATGTTTTGCGCATCGGATGAATTCCAGGGTGATATAAAAAGACACGCCAGTATACGGCAAGTGGAGAAGTGGCCACCAAGGAGTCCTGCCCTTGTAGACAGAGACCTCCAAACAGACGGTGCTTACAGAAGGACCTCTGAAAGGGATCTTAGGGTTCAAACAGGTAGGAGATGCTTCTTCAACTACGGATTCCCCATAGGGTTTAAAGCTAAGTATTTGCACGCTGAACTAGGCCACAGGCAAAGAGGTAACCAGCACTATTCTGCTTCTTCTGGTGTGATACAAAAAACCTGGCCGTGCCAGGTAAATTCTGCAGTAGTGGGGCATCGGTGACATCATGAAACAGAGGGAACCCTTCACCAACATGGTGTACCTCTGGATGCTTCTGGGTTTCCCAGAGGACCGTGCTTGGCCACCACAGAAAAAAGACTGCTAGATGTCAAGATCTTCAGAACTGGTCCAATGTTTGTAATAGTAGTAATCGTCACAGAAGTAGAAGAAAAGGACAGGATTTAAATCCAGGATATAACTACTTCTAAGACCATCACTACTATATTTGCATTTCTAAATATGAGATCTGTGTGAAATTTGTATGAAATGTTTCGCCGAAGAATTGAAATCAACCCTGACTGCTCTTTGGAAGGCCAGATATTGAAGATGAAGCTCAAATACTTTGGCCACCTGATGCGAAGGAAGGACTCACTGGAGAAGACCCTGATGCTGGGAATGATTGACGGCAAAAGGAGAAGTCACTGGAGAGCTGGATGTGGGCTTGGGTGTACTCTGGGGGACGGTGGAGGACAGGAAAACCTGGAGGAATGTTGTCCATGGGGTTGCGAAGAGTCCCACACGACTTTGTGACTGGACAGCAACAATGAAATGTTTACTAAGTCTATAAATATTCAGGGCAAAGTTTTAACTGACCTTTCTCCACAGTGCTTAAGCACTTTATAGCTAAAGTTTGTATCAATATTAATTTAAGTTGCCTGGGTCTGAGGAGACCTGGGTTCTAGTCTCCACTCAGCCATGAAACATACTGAGTGACTTTGGTCCAGTCTCTTGAGTTACAGAGAACCTACCTCACGAGGCTGTTGTGAGGATACAACGGAGAGAAGGATGGTGC